TCAGGCTTCATGACCTGCTTGCCCCGTTGGTTTTGCTAATGGCACATTTTTGGGGGTTTTGGGTTTTGGGCTGATTTCTCAGGCAGTGATGGACAAGGTAGACCTTGCAGTCCTTCTCCTTCTTGGTAGGTAGACGCTATGTCCATGCAGAAGCTGTGACCCTTCAAGGGAGAGAAGCTGAGTTCCTTGTGTTGGTTTTTTTCATGATGCTGGTATCTGGCTCTTTTCTGCAGGCTCTCCTTCTTCCAGTTTCTTGCTCGCTGTTGTTTGTTTTGGACTTTGGTGCTGTTGCCGCTGGTGCTGTGAGATGTTCTTTGCCTATTCCCGGTGTTTGCATTAATCCTTGCCTTGTGTTGCTGCTGGTTGCCTTTTCCCTGTTGGGGAAACTGAGGCAGGGTAGAAGCCTAGAGTAGGGGAGTTTTAAGAGGCTATTAGGAAAAGCCCTTTACCTTGCTGCTGCCTTGCAGCTGCCCTTCTAACAAGCCTTATTTCATGCCTCTCTTCCTCTTGGCTGCTGGGTGCACTTAGTTGTCTTGTTAATGATGATTTTCTTGCTAGTTTGAGCAACTTAAAGCATGAATATTTTTAAGGCGAGGAGCATCCCACCTATGGGAAGCTGCACAGCGCTGGCGTTGCTCGAAGCTGTGCAGAGGAGATTAGGAATGTGTTTAGTGTCCTTTAGGAGGAGGAATAGGAAAGGGCGTGGAGTTTTCATTTCCCATGCTTTGGCCTCAAGGCTGCTGGGCAGGTGTGAGCAGAGCCTGGCAGTGCCCTGCCTTGGGACAGCACCTGGTTTGGGGGGGTCCGGGAGCAGGGTGCGAACCTCTCCCTGCTCCCATGCTGGCCACAACCCCTATTATTTTCCCCACCTCTGCCAAGAAAGGGGACTCCAGCTGAGGGCTGTAATGCTGAAGGTCGACCGAGGCTGCATTTGGTGCTTTTGCAGGAGGCAACTGTGTAAACAAACAAACAAACAAAAGAAAACCGGGTTGGTGCTTGTTTGCTCTGCAAAAGGAATGGACCCTCTTCTGCAGCATTCTCCTGGGGTAGCGGCCTTTCAGTGCGGAGCTCGGGAATTAGCCAGAGCTGCGCAGGCAGCTTTGGTTGTGTGCCTTTGGTTGCACCGTGGCAGCGTTTTACTGGCGGCCTCTGAAAAGCACTGTCGGCTAGGGACATCCCAGGGCAGCGAGCTGGGGGTCCAGCTGGAGAAACCCCCTCTCCTTTGAAGAGAACAGCCCCCTGGATGCTGTGCAAAACTGAACAAGAGCCCTAAATGATTTGGGGATTTTATGCAGCTTGTTATCTTAGGCATGGATTTTTTTTTTAAATCCCAGCAAGAAATAATCCTCTTTTTTCTGGTCGGAATAGAAATGGCTTGATGCCACAAGGCAAAAAATAAAAGGAAGCTCTATCCGGTGCTGTGATGATTTGCAAGGCTAGTGAGAGACTACATAAGGCGTTTTCAAATAGACTCTAATATTTTCAGTGCTTAAAGAGGGCCCGACTACGTGACACCTTTTTTGAAGCCCTGATTTACAATGGACCCAGGCTGAGTGCATTATAATTTGCTGCGCGAAGTTCCAAAGTCGCAGTACTTTCAATAATGAGGAGAGAAACCCTAATATGATGAGACTTTTTTTTGGTATTGTGTTTAATGAAAAGCTAAAAATGTGCTAATTTGTAAGTCCTGTTGTGGTAGTGGCATCGGAGGCTTTTGAAATGCATTACTGACTTAGGAAGTTTTAAGAAAAAAATGACATTTTGCTACTAGCAGAAAAGTCAATTATAACGTTTCCACACTTTAGAAAATTGCTGATGCAGGATGGGAGTTAATAGAACAGTCAGCTTCACTTTGTATTACTGAATTTGGAGGGTTTTGCTGAGAAATGTCAGGTTTCGGTGTTTTGTTTTTTTTTTAATTCCGATGGCAACTTAAACAATAAGCCACAACAGGTACCTCGTGGTTGGGACTCATCTCTGGCCAGGGCATGCTGGAAGGACATGTATTCCCTTGGGCTGTTCCCACCTGGAGTGGGACTGTGTGCCAGCCTGGTGTGATGCAGATTGCCCAGGACCGGGGTGAATCATCATAAATAAAGATTTAGCAGCATTTTGCAGTTGGGCTGGTTTCTGATGGTGGAGGAGCACGTGCCAAAGTGCTGAGTCCGGTGCAATCTGTTCCCAGTACTTTGTAAAAGAGCCCCGTTAATTTATTAAAAAGCACTTAAACCAAGAAACTGGAGAAAATAGGTGTCCTTACCCACTGTGCTCTCTATGGAGCTTTTTTCCATCTCCTGGAGAAGAAAACAGCAGTAAACTTTTCCTAAGCTCTTGGGGAATGGAGGGGTGGGAGCTCTGGGAGACTCACTGTGGTTGCCAGAGAGCTTCAGTGCTGGTTGTAAAAATCCTGGTGCTGGAGGAGTCGGCTTTCAGGAAGGCAGTGGCACTCCCAGTAACCCTATCTCTAAATCATACAGGCTAGCAAGGCAAAATAGCTCATGCGAAATTGGCAGGGATCAGAGACAAGGGCTGGCACCACTTTTAACAGGAGTTACGGTGTCTGATTAAAGGGCTTTGGCCACAGCGGCATAACCCAAGCGCTTGACATAAGCCAGGGACCTAATAATACCCGAGGCACATTGCGAAAGCATGACTTCATGGGGGCTGCTGCCTTCTACCTAGCGAGGGCCGTTTTTCCTCCCTCCTTGCTGTGAGGATGCAGCCCTCCTGCCTGGCTGCATGGGACCGGGGCTGCCTTTGGTTGGCTGCATCCCCAAAAGCTTGCTGCCGGGAGGTAGATGCATCTCCTGCACAGATGCCAACAGGGATGGTGCCTGGGGTCTGCAAAGAGACTGGGTGCTCTTCCCTGGGATGCTTGGTGGGTGTTGTAGAGCAGTGTGGAGGTGATGCCCTCATGACTTAAGGCTCCACTTGGTTTTGGTTTCTTACTATTTGAAGTGCTATGACAAACTGCTTGTGTTTCTCAGGCTTATTGATAGGATTTAAATAGTTTGGCAGACATCTCATCTGAGGCAGGGTATTCACTACACACCTGAAATCCTGATTATGGCACTTTTTTTGCAGAGAGCCTTGTGGCAAATTGGTAGCAACTTATTTCCCACTGGAGCAGAAGCTTTGTCAGCTGCCAGCCTGAGTCTCTGCTCTGGTTGGTTTGGCTGATGCCCAGGTGATGGGGATTGGGGGTTATTGGTATCTTGGGGAGGCAAAAGTGATGTTGGGAATTTGTACAACAGGGAGGTGGGCATGAACGGCTCCCAGGTGCTTCCCCCTGCCTTGGATGGAGGCTGAGTGCCGGGGCTGTGCTCCTTGCCCACCACCCAGGACCCTGCAAAGCTGGCACTGAAATCTGGGCTCCTGCTCCAAGCGTGGCCTCAGAGGCTATATTTAAAGCACATTAAAATCCACAGGGCAGGGTTATGCCAAGACTTTATTGCCTCTCGGGGAGTGAAGTCACACTTTGCTCCCTCTTTCTTGGCTGTTCCTCCCCAAGTGTTTCAAAGGGGGGGTTCCCGTTTTGTGTGGTAAAGCAAAAAGATTGGGAGTGAGCATGAACACTTTTTAAAAGTCGTGTCATATGTAGTTCTCCTGGGTTTGGAGGAAGCAATTAAGCCAATTAATTTATTGGTAAATTATCTTATGATGAAGTACAAAATAACTGCAATGAAATGCTGACATTCACATTAATACCAAATTAGTTACTGTATTATGACTGTTCTTACAATGAATGCCCAGTAATTTAATAGTAATGGGATATTTAAATAATTTAGCCGATAATTCTCTAGATCACTTACATATATAAATGAGCGTGATGGCTTCTTTTCTCAACTTTGCTGGTGCTGCTGGATTACCTCCCACCACCACACCAGGAGGCAAAGCAGCCTGGTGCCCCTTTCCACTGTTTCCCAAAACTCGCTTCTTGCTGGAAACTAAGTAGGGGATAGGGTGTAGCAAAGGGGATTTTCATCCCTCATCAGATTTTGGGATTGCTGTGCCATGAGGCTGTGGCCGGAAAGCGGAGCGCAATTGCCCTGTGGCTGGGCTTAGCAAAGTCACAATGCTCTTTTTTTCCCGTCGTGAAAGATCTCTGGGTAAAGATGCTCTACCCAGACCTGGTAGAGCATCTCTAGCGGTGTTCCTTGTGAGAACACTATTAGCCTCACAGCGGGACGGGCATTGGAGATCCAGCCAGGGCCACTTAATTGAATAGTTCAGCCGCTGACACTGAAATTACTGTGTGTTGGCTCTGCTTGATGCAACAGCTTCATTTTCAAGTAGCTGCACTTTCTGTAATAATAATTATAAATAGCATTAAAATTGCTCCTCATTCTTCCCTCCCCATCCCCCTGAGAGGACTCTAAAGGAGAGTGAGGGCTTGGCAGCTACGCAGGGCAGAGTTTCTCTGCTTTACTGCTTCTTTGTCACCCCCTGCACCCATGGAGCTGTGTTTAGATACACTAGCTGTGGCTTCCATGTCCCCATGGAAAAAAAGAAATGCAGTTTACACCAAAAGCGGCCACTGTTGCAAGCTACACCTAGAGGCTAAATTGCCCCGGTACTTTTTTTTCCCCATAAACTAGTGAATACTGGAGAAAAAAAACACAGGCTTCTGCCCTGCCAACCATACCTGGGAAGGTGAAAGGTTCATGCATCCTTTCTGCATGGGGTCGGAGTCGTGCCCTGGAGATGGATGTTGCCAGTCAGCGTGTTACTTCGCTATTGAGATTGCATTGAACCTGCTGAAATATTAGTTAATGGACTTGCTTACATCCAGCCTAAATGTGGTCTTTTTATCACATCACATTCTGCTGTCAAACCTGTTGTGGAGAGGAGTATTCCACTGTCTGCAAGATTGAGGACAGAATTATCCAAATTAGTTTTCTTGCAGATGAGAGCAGCGATGAGGTTTTTAACATAAATCCTGCCACTTCTTTGGAGAGTCTGGCTCCTTTCACTGAGGATGACGTTGAAGAGTACCTTTTTTAATCTGGATGTGCTGCCGAGTTTGTGAAGCCGGCAGCCTGCTGCAAGCAAGCGTCTGCAAAGAAAGAATAAAGAAAGGAAAGCCAAAGTTTGTAGCTTCTCTGTTGCAAGCGATTAAATCCAGGGGCTGGCAGCTCATACTCGCGGCGTCCCTTGTGTGGGTGGTGATGAGGCTCCAGCAGCTGGATTACTGCTGGGATGGCTGGGGGAAGGGCTTGCTACACCAGAAATGTCCTGAGGTGTTGCACAGATGAGATCTAGCAAGCATTTTCTCTTCTGTCATTTTGGTCCCCTTAGCAGGGCTGGAGATGCAGCCTTAAGATTGGAAGGGTGAAATCCAGGGAAGCCCTGTACCGGACAGCAAAATGTAGCCAAAGAGGACCACAAAAAGCCTGAGTTGGGGCTGTGATAGCATGGCAACCTATTCTTCCCTTGGGGAGAAAATTCACTTTAACCAGAGCCATCCAGTTCCTTCTACTGTGCTCAATGATATGATGACTGGCACTGTTTTCTGTGCAGTTAGTTGCCTGTAGGAATCCTTCCGGGCTTTTGTTCAGACTTTGCCATTTCCAGGAGCATCTTTTTCCAGTGGGTTTCTTCTTATAAGCAGGAAAAGCTCAATACCATCCCCTTCCCAGGAAGCTTTGTTAGAGCAGCTTCTTGGGTAGGCTTTTGTCTTTCTGCAGAGTGTCTGTCCTAAAACATTTGTGTACTGACCATCTGGGTAAGAGCATGTTTTCTACAAGTAACTTGCCATCATATTTTTGATGAAATAACTCTGTTCTAGGAGGGGAAGCCAGAGGAGTAAGGGGTTGGGGTAGTACTCAGATGCAGAAATGTTTAAAACACGATCATTCCATTTTATGTAGAAGACATATCGGTAAGATCTTAAGCAGTGAGCAGTGCTATACTCAGAGTCAATTGTAACTGGCAGGGTATGTGTGATGTGCTGTCCTCAGCCTGCCCTTCCCCGAAGGCAGGTTGGCCTGGTCTGTGCTGGAGGAAACCTGAGGAGCTTCCTACAGCAATGCAGCACTCCTTGTACCTCCCAGCCTGTCTATAGTGAAGGTATAGAGAGGTCCTTCGACTCCCTGGGGATGGTGTGCCTTGTGTTTCTACTTAAACAGGTATTACAGGTTACTTGTTGTCAAGTCAATATAGGTATGCTGCAGTTAGAGGTGAAAGCAGGTATTTGTGGCTCTTACCTGTAGAAGATACCGGTAAATGAGATCCTGTACTTGGCATAAGGCGGTGCTGGCTTCTTCAGTGTCGCATAGGATGTCCCAAAGTTTTAGGGTGTTCTAACCACTGTTTAGAAATACCTTGCCCCCAAAATTGCTGATTTGTGAGCAAACAAGATTGATTGTATATCAACTGAAACACTATCAAATGCTATCATGGACTACCTGGTGCATTGTGTTTCTGAGAAGGTTTAGTTCCCTGCACTTGCTGCTTGTGTTACTTGGTTATTAGGCCTAATGCACTCTATTGAGTAGGAGGCACTACATCAAAGCACAAGACCAGGAAATCTCTGCCTCCAAGTGTCTTAGGTCCTTCTGTGTAGAAGACATTCCTGCCACAGAGCTTCACGTTTTGCTGCTCAAGCACACAGAAACAGCCACTGTGATCCCACAGGCTACATCTGTACACTGCTTCATGCGTGGGGTCTGAACGTGATAGGGCAGACTTTCACCAGTGGGCTACTTAAACAGAGCTTGCAGGACTGGATTTAGAAGAAGTTGAAGCAGGTCTAGGTGGATTGGGTTTAACACAGCATGAAACAACCTTTTAGAAAGCTCGACAGGCCTATGCCAGATTGCCATTACAGCTGCTGTTCTGTTACATACGGGGTTTTTTTAAGCAACAGATACATCGCTATTTGTGCAAACAACGTAATTGGGCGTTGTTTTCTATTGCAAAATAGATTCTCAGGACATCCACCAAAATGAACACCACCTGATCACTTTGCTTTTGCTTTTCTTCTGCTTATTAATGTTTTCTGCTAACAATCACATACATGAATTTGTCCATGATGAGGCATCAAAAGGTGAAACGGTGCTGGTCCTCATGCGGCTATGTAAATATTCAGCTTGTGGTAGATTGCATTAAGTGTCTTATAATCCATCCCAATTAAAAAGCAGTCTTTATAGCTGTAATAGTTTTATTGAGAACTGTAACACATTAGACCTACAGATATATAAAGCAGTTAGTTTTATAAAGCATATAGGATATTAAAGTAATGAAAGACATTAATGTGACATCAATTTTTAAGGAGAGTTACTTGCTGAAATAAATGAGTATAGCCTAAAAGTTGATGGCATGTTACAGTCCTGAGTAATGAACCTCTCTGCCCCCTAAAACCTTGTAGAATAAATAATGCTTGAGCAAGTCAGTGGTCATTAACTCTTCATCCTCTGAGAGCTACATGTCACATTGATGTCTCATCTGATTTTTTTTTTTAAACTTTTTAAAATTCATTCAGAAAGGAATTATCTTTCCTGGAATAGCTATAACTTGGGGTGCATTATTCTCACGTGTCTGCTTTCCTGACAGCTCCCCCTTTTCAGCGAAGTAGGGCTGTGACTGATATTGCCAGATGCAAAATTCCTGAGGAAGTTAGTTTTTCTTTTTTCCTTTATTTCCTTCTTTTGTTTTACCTTTTCCTGCTTTTTCACTGTCTGCCAGTGCTCTGATTCGCGCTTTACCCAGCTGTGTCTTGGCATACCAAGCCTGGAAAATCAAAAAACGTGTGTATGTTTTATTAAAATTTAAAAAGAAAAAAATAAAAGAACACTTAAGAAACTTTTTACTAGTACAATGGAGCATTCCTTAAAAAAAAAATTCTTAAAATCCTGTCTGGCTTGTGGAGAAGCAGAAATGAAATCCTCAGATCTCTTGAGTACATTATTATAACAAGAAGTATAGCAATTGCTTGCTTGAAGTGTCTCATTAACAGGAATACTTAGCTGGGCCATTTGTGTTGCTATAGCTATGGAAATGTTAGAACTTCTATGATCAACCCTATTTCTGAGGTATATAGCTCTTGTCAAAACTCCCTCTGGTCTGAAACTTGGCAACAGACAAAGCATGTACTTCTCATGGCTCTGCAAATCAATCCAGACAGTTTTTATTTCAATGAGAGTGCTTAAGAAGCAAAACAAACCCCGAACATTAAACCTGTTTATTGCTTTCAGATGCCTGTTCACAGTCCTGTGACTTGTAAACGATTTTGGGATAGTCGCTCTGCAAACTTGCCAAGCTCCCGGGCTGTAATGTCAACAAGGCAGTTCTAGGCCATGTGAAAATAATGTAAAATGAAGGAGAGGGTAGTGCTTTAAAGTTAGGAGCGTGTAGGAATTGGTCTTTCCCTGTATGTACGTGCAGGAACCTTTATCAATAAAGTCCTGCCCACCAGAGATTAAAATGCCACTAGGTGTTGACATGCTTGATAAAATGCCTTCCCTCTTGCCCCTATTTATCCATGCGCTGCCCCAGGAATGAATGTCTTTCCTCTGACCACAGACCACTATTTAATGCCACAACTGTGTCTCCTCTGCCCTTCACTTGGGTAGTCTTCAACCTTTCTACCAATGCAGCATCCTGTAAAATCTGCCTTTTCCATATGATTCATCCAAAATGCTGCCTCCAGCTTCAGCCTGGTAAGGCTACCCCTAGGAATTTGCCTTGTCCAGTTTCCCAGTATGTGTTACAGACAGGCAGCAGCAAGACGAGTAGCTGGGAGAAGAGGTATTGGAAAAATGTATAAGGAAGAAAACCCCTTGATGTTCCTCTCCTGGTCCCAGATGGTCCTTCTTGGTGTCATGCTTCTTAAAGGCTTCCTCTGGGTCCCAGAAAGGGGCTGATGACAGGCACCCTATTTGCATCTCTTATCTTGCAGATTAAATACTGTCAGCAGGTAAATGAAGTCTGACAGCTGTCAAATGTCTAGCTGGCTGCTGAGCAGCCCTAACACTGTGGTCTCTGCTCTAATTGCCCAAATCAGCTGAGCACCCCTCCTCCAAGAACCCTGACTCCACTGATGAAAACATTATGCAACCTCTCATGCATTCACATCTAGACAGTGTCATGGGAGGTGTTTGGGAAGAACCTCTGGTCTCTCAGTGCAGCGACCTGGGCAATTGAATTTTGCTGTCCTAAAGATGGTCTCGGGCCAAGCTATTCCTGTGTTAGGGAGAACAGACACAGCTGGGACAACATGGGGCAGGGAGAGGCCTGGAGATGGCTGTTTATGGTCCTTCATATGAGTGGGATAAGAAAGACAAGATGGTGGTTGTGACTATTGGCTCGGGGAGGAATTGACTTCTCCAGCAGTAGCTAGCAATCAAACAATGTCTCTGGCCTCCCATGCATGATAGGCCATAGAAATTCTATTTTCCCCCCCAGGTTTGTTGTCCTGGGAATGATGTTCTCCAGACCTTAAGTGGGAGATGGAAAGAATAACAAACCCTTGCCAACAGCTTGCTGGGAGCTTAAGCACCGTCTGGTGGGTGCAGACCAGGGAGATCATCTTGCCGCCCACTCTGAGTCACTGATAAAGGACTCTGCTGCATGTGGCAGGAGGAGCTGAGTGACTCGTGATGTCTTCTCTTTTTCTCTTCACATTTCTTTGTGCATATATTTCAATGTGGTAAATCTACCTGCCTGTTGGCATGCGATGATGGCTGCTTTTGACTCTTTAGCTAGTGGAACTGCTGTGTGAGATTAATGAAGCCACCTCCTCAAATATGGTTAAAATAAAAGTAGATTTATCACTAATGAACTAGCATCTGATCTGGGGATGTAAGTTACTGACAGTAAGTGACTGATCAGTGTTAAAATGTTTGCTTTTAACACAGTCTTTGGTATGGGTTTTCTTACATATTAAGTATTTTGTACCAGTCACTGTCAGGCAGAACTAGTGTGCTAGTTGAACTGTCCTTTGCTCTCCTCTAGGACTACTGTTATTTCTGTGTAAGGATTTGTATCAATCACACTGGTGCAACAATTTATAATTTCAAAAATGTGGATATATAATTGGGGCAGAAATTTGAGTAAATTGAATGAAGAAATCACATTATCACAAACTTTGCATTATTTATATTCATTTTGGAACACTGGCAGAATATAAATGTCAAACAGGGAGATTCATGTTTCCAGTGAATAGAAATCAAAGATTCATCACAGCACTAATCTTCACTTTGAATACTGTATTTTAGCAGCCCCACTTCAAAAAGGACAAAGCAAAGCAACAGAAAAGGTCCAGTGATGGCAATGATTAGAAGCTCAGGAAGAGGGGCTTCTGTGCAAGAAGAGATGAAGGTACTGGAGTTAATGCACGAGGCCATTTTGACAATCCTCTTCCCCTGTGCCATATTACAGGTGCTGGGGCAAAGTTCCATGACATTTAAGGGAAACAAATTTAAAACCAATAAAAGGAAATACTTTCTTAAGGGCTGTAATTAATGCAAGGAAATTATTGCTATGGGAGGCTGAGGACAGTATCATTTTAGCTGTGTTCAGAACGAAGTGCTGCCTGAATACTTTGTGCTGTACAAAACAGGCACATTTATAGTAAGTGGAATAATATTTTGGAGTTAAACTCGCACTAAATACTAGCTCTCGTGTTTCAGGGTACAAATGGATTACTACTTGGAGCTGGGAATGATAGGGCTTTTTTTCTTTGCTGCAATGCTGAACCATTAGCCTTTCCCTGAGGAAAGATACTGGTTTAGATAGGAAGCATGAAGAAAAAAGAGTAATTTGCCAAATATCACAAATGCTGCATATGCTGAGTGAGCCAAATGGCTCTAAATGGAAATTGGAAAGTACTCAACAGGGCTGGGAGAAATATGCACTATCATTAGGTTAGCAGTGGAAGAAGACTTGGACAAAGTTGTTAGAAACAGCATCCTGTTTGTTGTGTGAGGCGCTGTGAGGATTCAAAACCAGAGGGGATTCAAAGAGCAGAACAAAGAGGAAACCTTTTAGCCAGGAGAACTCAATGGTTTATAAGCATGTCTGTGTAGAAGTTGGGGGGGTATGGGACGGAGAAAGCCCTTTTGGGGTCTCTTGGCTTCAGTATAGAAGTCCTATCCCATTTGGAGCCCCTGGTGTGGGCTGCCTGCAGCTTTCCTTGGTACATAGCAGGGCTGTCCCGTTCAGTGCTCAAGGCTTTTACTAGCGTTTAGCAGGCTTGAAGTGCCTCCATCAAGCATTGTGCTGTTTTTCTGGGGTGTCAGTGCTGCTAAGCTGTAGTGTTGCACTCAATTAGCTAGTTCAAGCCCAGTTCAGCTGTCCCTAAACTACACTGAAATCACTACAGTAAATAAATCATAGACCTGTACTTAAGCCTGATAAACTGTTCCCATCATTAGGAAAAGTAAAAATACAGCGAAAGCAGAATTAACCATCACATGAAGATAATCCTAGTCTAAGGAAAGAAAAACACATTATTATTGAGCTACATGTGGAAAAAATAGTTGTTTGCAGGGTGATCCATGTATGTTTGAGGTATATGTAATGCATCTCAAATGCACTAGGTTTTGCCTTAAGGATTTTTTGGCCCTAAGGGTGGAGAGAGGGATGGAGTTTGAGGCAGAAACTGATTTTTTTTTAAACCCCGAAATGAAGAAAATTCTTGTTTGAAATATTTTTAAATAAGGACTTAAAACTCAATCCCCATGCGGAGCACCCTGCAGGCCCCATGTGTCCAAGTTTTCTGCCTTCTCAAGATAATATAGCCAAGCTGGCTGAACATGTCAGCTCTGAAAGAAAAAGGACCAATGCATTGTACTACTGGCACCTGCATAACTTATCCATGCATGTGAAGGCCACCCTGTTCAACGTGAGCTGGGTGTGGGCAGTAGGTTCAGCAAAGCAATATGCCAGGCTTGTTACCCGTGCAGAGTTGCTGCCTGTAATAATGACCGTTTGCCTGGCATGTCCAGCAGCCTGGGCTGCCAAACAGCCCAAAATGGAGGAGATGGGTGTTTGGTGCTGTTGAGCCACACACCATCATTCAAATAGTGATGTGCCAACCCATCAGCAGAATTAGCAGGTCTCTAGATCAAATGTGCCTGGACAAGGACATGGCAGGGGACAATGAAAGACAGCCAGTTAATGTAGCTCTTTGTCACCTTAAATATTTCTTCCTCCTCTCTGTACACCGGGTCCTGTCTGGCCAGAGAAGTCATGAACTCGGCAGTCCTCAGTGGCTTCCTGGTCATCTGCAGCAGGCGTAGCTCACTCAGGACAGCTTGCACCGCCTGGATGATGTGTCCCTGGGTGAAACCATCAGACACCTTTGCTAGGCAGCTTATGTTCAGCAAGTTGGTGATTGCTCCACCGTTCTGCAGGATGATGTGTTTCCATAACACTGTTCATCAGGACCCAGAAAAAGAGAAAATGCCAAAGACATGCATTAAGGAAAGCAGGAGAAATATTTCTGCATTTGGAAATTGAAACAGGAAAATAAGGGATATCAGTCAGAAAAGCCAAGATTCAAGTTTTTCTTGTTTGCTGTTTCTTTCATCTACAGATTTGGAGCATAGAGGCCCTTAGGCACATCTGTTCTTAAACCATTAGTGATCATTTGTTGGCTGCCAGTCAGTACTTTTCAGAAAGTCATTAAGGGCATACAACGTGAGGTGGGTATGTGTGTAAAAATGGAAAGAACTACCTAAATATGCCTGTGTGTATACACAGAAAGAGAACCTGTCCAGAATGTTCCCATTTGGGTGTATAAAGTACCTATATTAACAGCTTGTTCTTATTTCCGTGACCCCGATCACAGGTTACTACTGCTGAGCTGATGGCTGCTATGGGGACTCAATGTCTGGTTTGGAAGCCAAAGGCTTCCAGCTATGCAGGCACATGTTGCAAAGGCCAGGTGTAAATTTCTGTGATTGCATTTCACTTGTTATTTAAATGGTGAACCTGTTTGTATCTTTTAGCCATGAACCTCTGTTACATGAAGGTTTTCTTAATGTTTGTGAAGTGCCTGAGATTTTGCTTCCGAAAATAAATTAATAGGAGTAATAACATCTTTTGTTTTATCCTATGTAAAGTAATGGTCTGTCTCAGAGAAACTTAGTAAAACTTTCATGCCATCTCACCATGCTTTCCTTTAAAGCCTTATATGAAAACATTTGGAAAAAGTAAGTATTATGCATAGAGATTAAAAAGGTTCTTGAATGAGACAGACAATTTGTGATTTGATCATTGTGTGTTTGAATGCTCATAGGTAGTATGAAAATGTTGGGTGGAAAGTTAATGGTACTGGATGTTGGGGCAGTCATGTAATGGAAAGAACCTGCCTTATTCTTCCTTTGATTGCAATATCGATACTATGGACTTATGCCCATAACTATTGACAACTTTGTACTACATTTTTCGCTCAGGCAAATTGTGATCTTCCACTTGAATTGTATCTATGCTCGATAATTATTGGCTGAATCACTAATTCATAAAAGAGGAATTGATGCACACAACAGTGAGTGCTACTTCTGCGTAGCCATATATTGTGTGCTGCAGCTTCTGTTGCAGATAGGATCATGCATACTACGAGGTACTGACTTGCTGGGTGATTAATAGCAAGAAACCAGTATAGGATCGTGAATCTTCCAGTTTAATGACTTCCATTGTATGTTTACTCTTTCTGTTGTGCATAGATCAGAACATCCTGGTTTGTAACAAACGGGAGGGTTGTAGCAGACAGGTAGCTGTGCGCTGTGGCTATGAATATTTGTTATGTGATGGCTTTTCTGTCAAAACAAGTTTCTTTAGATCTCAAATTGGGTGTCAGGCACTGAAAGTTGTCAAGATTGGAAAGTGAGTGCTCTGTACCATAAAGATCATATTTCCATTGAACTTCAGGGAAGGCTGGAGCTAAAGAACCAGCCAGGCACTGTCTTAAATGGGACAATGTCAAAGAAGTAAAGCTACAAGTTTAATCTGCTTTAAAATGTCAGGAGTTAACTTCTTGGGGCATTCTTAAATTTGCAGTTGAAATCCCTTTAACTGGCCCTTTTTTTGACTCCAAATTAGCGGTGAGAATCCCAGAATATGACAGTTCAATCCCCAGAAGTGAACACAGCTAAATTCAGCTGCTATCACCTCCTTTCTCTAGGTCTTATTCATGTCCCTTATCTGTTAGCAATTTATCAGAGCTGTAACGTAACATGAAACACATGTTAGCTTGCTTAGAGACCATTTCCCATCCGCACTATGAAAATTATTGAATGTGGGAGAGATTTACAATGTGCTAGGCAGTCAAAACCTGTCTTGAGCTTGCCCAAATGTGCATCATCTCAGTACCTTGGCTGCCTCCATGAAAGGCAGTATAGACTGGACTTCACAATACAGTTGCATGATTTTTGTAATAAGGTGACTATGCGGAGCAATATTGTAGTCAAGGTACAATTGTGTAACGAGGTCCCCGAGCTGAATGTGGTTTCTTTTACTACTGTATTCTTCTGGGACATGATCCATCAGAGATTAGTGGCATGAAGGGAGTCTGTTTTCTTTGATATGGTGATCAATAGCGATACTCGTGCTAGGAGCCACTAGTGGAAGAAACACACCTTTGAGAGTCCGAACTCTTAAGTGTTTGGTGCCATTCTGAATAGCCCAAAACCTTTTTTCCACATTATCTTTAGACTGAACCTAAATAGCCCTTCTGCTTATGAGTCACCACATCCAGACTCCTTAGTACCCAGAAAAGTGTATTAAACCACAAGATATCTGTGATAAAACCACAGGAAAAAAGATTATACTTCTGGGAACAAAAGTCCTTCTACCAGCCAGTTCTAAAGGATGTGGACAAACTACCATTCTTCTTGCAGTAATTGATTCACATTATTATGCTTAATTTGGAGCATTTCTTCCTAGTCAATGCTGAGCTATTGCAGACTTCAAGGTGATTCAAATCTGAAAACAAACTTGCATGCTTGAAAGTTTGTCTTTTTTTCTGCCCATGTAAGTTGGTCTAATAAAAGACAGGGTTTTTGTTACTAGCTTTGACTCTCAGCATTATGGGGTCCTCAGTGAATTTGTCAGACTTTGGGAGGGCCTGTCTATCACCACTTGATAGACTAGACATGCAAAATCGTGGATGCTTCTACAATACCTCTCATGATCTGTAAGTACAAAAGTGGAATTTGATAGTGACAAAACTCAATTCTCCAGATGTGGTTCTGCTTATGGAGAGGCCCTGAAATGTGTTGTTTGGAGTATGGAAACTGGATAGGAACAACGAATTCAGAATCCTTGTGTAAAAAGAAAAGCTTAAAATAGGAAGTGTGTACTGAAATAGGATCTTATCCTTCCTACAGTGAAAAAACAGCTTGGGATGAACTGAGTGCATGCTAAACAACTCATGAAGAAACGCTAATCACTGCAGAACAGTATTTTAAACCCTTCTCCCAACTTCCACTCTTATTATCTGATCTTTGGGGTAGCCTGCACCACTATTACCTAAAGTTTCAGGAGTTGAAAATTTAGGCAATACTGAAATTAATTGAAAATTTGTACCTGGGGTACGAATTGAAGTCAAAGTCAGTTCTGAGGATAACCAGACAATAAGCATGGATTTTAAACAGTAGTAATCAACAGGATCACTTGAAATACTTGCCAAATCTTGAAGCGTAGTCAGGCCTAGGAATCAGAATAATTTTTTGGTAGACTTTGCAGAAAGGTTTAAGATTAGCGTCAAAGGGACGGTTGGTGGTTCCCACTAGCAGCACTCTGTCCTGTGCTTTCAAAGCCTTAAGGAATTTGGGGAGGATCTTTTCCAGTCGTTTTGGGTTCATCTTCAGCGTGTACATGTAAATACAAGGAAGAAAGAGTTGTTACCAATACTGACAGTTTAGAGTTAATGAGGTGAAGTTGTAGACATGCTATATACAACAGGACTTTGCTTTTTTTTAGTAGTCTAGTTGCCTTTAGTATAAGCAGACTAGATGCTCAACCTAAGTAGAAAGCCTCTGTCTTCTAAGAGTCAGGTAAACCCTTGATTTCTGCTTATGTATTTATGAGTTTGTGCTAGTGCCTTTCACTATTGAATTTGCTGGTCCTGTTATTGAAAAGCAGGCAGGAAACAATTCATTTAAAGAAGGAAATCCTGATTTCCAGTTCAAGGAGAAATATTGCTTGGACCTGCATACCTGATGAATTTTAACAGATAGAAAAATAGCTAGGGTATGTAACCTGGTGTGGAATCCTCCCAACTCTTGGAGGTTATGATCTACCAACTTCTACCCATGGTTTAAATGTGAAAAATACACTCCCTGATTTTTGCTGTGATTTGTAGCTTGCTGAGGCTCTAACCTGAGAACACAAGCTCTTTGAACTCAGGATTCTTTCTTTGTAATAATTTACTATTTGACTATAACAAATACTTAAATACTATTTACAGGACAGATGAGTATTGAGCAAAACCTGTTATTGGATAGTTACGTTTGATAATGTTCAAGTGAATGTTGGTTGGAGAAGCTTAATCAAATTGCTGTGGTGTCACTCTACTGTGAATAACTGGGTTAGGATAGTGTCTCAGAGAAGTCTAATGACTCTTCAGAAACGATTGGGACTTAAGATCCAAGTCACCAACACTCACTTGAAAACTTTACTCTCTAGATCACCTTGTGATTATTATTTTTTTTTTTACTATATAGTAGGCAAATCCCTGAGAAACTTGATCTTCAATTTCAGATCAGCTTTCCTTAATGTCAGTAAGGAAGAAACTGTCCTGCAAACCTTCTCAGCTGAAAGGCAATAATAAGCACCTGTGAATCTACATTGCATGTACAATCTTTGTGATCCAATTTTTCTGTTATCTGCAGTAGCAGACAGCTGACAGAAAGGAGGCAAAACTCTGTTCTTTGGAGTGAAAGCTACGGAGGAGGGGAAATTGGGAAATCAATAAGAAATCCCAAAAGTCTTGGGATAGAGTCACACAGTTATTTTCTAGGAAAACTTGTCTTAATTACAATATGCCTGTTTTCTCATTCTTGTTATTCACATGGTCATACTATGCACCTTCCTAAGTTTGCCAATTGCTTAATCAGAATAGTGAGTTGAGCGTGTCTTTGCACTACGGCTTAGGTCCCACTTTGGAGCATGGACGTGTTGCTTGCCAGGATGATACATCCAGCTCATGGTTTTTGCTCTTGGATGAGCTATTCCTATGGCCATCACTCAATGCCAGCTGCCATCTTTTCATCTCCTCCTTGTTGTGCCTATGCACCCAGTGCTCCTAGGACAGCGGGATGCCTGCATTTGCTCCCAAAGAATGTGCCCTGTAAGCACAGTAGCTCTGCCCTGGGGCAAAGGAGAAATCTTGTTTTTTCTCTTGCTCAGAAAAAAGGATGTCACTCTGTCCATGCTCAAACAGTATGTTTGCTGGCTGAGGGCAGGACTTCAAATCACAAGCTCTTATCCAAACTTTGCCATTCCCTTGTTGGGAAGCTTTTGGTAATGAACTTGACTTCTCCGATTAAACAAGCTGCTGTTACATATCTACCTTGGAAGTTTTAGTCAACTTTGCCACCTTTGCTTTGTCAGAGAGATCTGGTCACAGCAGTGACCAAAATGTGGTTTTTATTTTGTTTTTTAACATATTTTATGCTGACTAAATTACTCCCCGTGACATATATCTGCTGCTGCTCACAGGCTTTGAGCTTTCCTCCTCTTCATGTGTATTGGAAGGAAGTACAAATGTTCTCTAAGATGTTTTGAGACATCACTAGAATAGTGAGAATTATTGAATTATTTTAGGTTTGGATGATGGGTGAGTGGAGGAATTCCTTCTCTGTGAAATGACTGATAGAAGATAATAGTTGCTTCAAGTGAGACACGGTGTTTTCTGGGCTTGCAGTATATGTCTTCTGCTGGGAAAACCGACTCTATTAGGAGATGCAGAGAATTGTTAAAACAATTGTCTGACTCCTATTTAACCTCCTACTCATGAAAATAAGTCCTAATTTATCCCTTGCATTTAGAACTTCATTTGTCACCCAAAAAATTATATTTGTAGATTCCCACTGATCTAGAGTTGGTTGCAAGAAGTGTTTGTTGCTCAGCTTGTAGGAATCTTAACTTTAGAACTTTAAATGATTGTACCAGAGATCAAGCTAAACACTCCATTGAAGTTAAGCCTACTAAGCCAGACTGGCATTTGTGTCAGCAGCTCCTGTTGTGCTTGTGAAACTAATGTGTGTCCATAGCGCACACGTTTAAGAGCTATGTCCTGAAAGCTAACAATATCTCCTCCGCTTTGAAAGAAAAGTGTCAGTAACAAGAAAGGCTGTTGAAGAGGCAAGCTATGATTTCAGCTATCATGTGGACCTGAGCTGGAGAAAAGTGGGGTGAATTGTGAGGGTGGCCCCTATTTGTTTAACTATGAGTGGCTGAACTGCTTGCACATCATCCTTGGCAACTAGGTTATCATAACATATTTGATATCTGACTGCTTTGCATCTTTTAGGGAGGATTGGAGAGAGACTACTTTTCTAGTGGGTATTTGAAGAATTTAAGGCTTCTTTTTACCAGGTTCTCAGTCATGGTGCCAGAAATGTCACACTGGGATGAGCAAAGTGACTTCCACTCACTTTAGCTTCTTCTGAGGGCTGAGCTTAGCTCATCTTCTCCAAAATTCTAGCGCTCCTAAGGAAGGCTTCCCAGACTGCCATTTACTGCTGCCTGTCCCTCCTGTTTCATGCTCTCTGGCTCCAAATATTGGTTATGCTGTGAACTATCTTGGACATGAGTGATTTCAAGCCTGGAGCTATCCACTCCCATGAAGAACGTTTTGTTAAATACTTTTGTTAAATACCTGCAGATCTATGGATGCGGTTGCAGGGATAGAGGTGATACCCCTGACGCTGAGGTAGGCACGGGGAGAAACTTTTCCTTATTGGCAGCTATCAAAGCAGACAAAGATCATGAGTGTTCCAGGCAACCTTTGGCCCCTAGTCTTAATTTTGATCCCCATCTGCACTTGCTGTCAAGGTTTGAGCCCAAGAGAAATGGTCCGTTTCGGTGCGAGGACCACTAGAGGGCATCAACCACTGCACACCCATCAGCTCATACAGCCCTCATCCAAGGTGATGCTTCATTGGTCTTCCAAAATACAGGCTTGTGTCCATCCCACAGCCTAAATGCACAGGACTCACCTTAAGAAAAAAGGTTTAATTTTTCACACGGAGCTCTAAAAGTAAAATATTTTGCAAGCAGCATGAATCTAATCAGGATTTCAGGTGAATCGCTCTCTGCTGCGGTGGTTGAGTTGCTGTGCCTATTGGGCAGTGTTTTAATTTTCTTTCTAGTGGGGAAGCTACACAAGAGAGGAAGGAATGGAAGCAATGGTAATAGGACTCCTGGGAGCCCGAAGAAAATAATCTGTAAACATAACTATTTAACATAGGCTCTTTGTTTTCACAGTGGAAATTTATCCTTGTTACTTTATTGTTCACTTTGGCTCCATCCAATTTCTCAAATTAATAGAGCTGAACAATTTAAGCTCATCTTAACTTTTAGTTTCTTGCCTCATATTTTGAAATTCTCCATTATTCTCTTCTACTTTTCAGTGCACTGATGAGCAGTGACTGGACTATTTTTAAATAAAACAATTATAGGTGTGTAGGAGAGAAATGTGACCTCTTGGGGGCTCTTAAAAAGTCACAAGACTCTCTTAAAAGAAAAAAAAGCTAGTGAAACAAGCTATTATCAAGCAAGCTTTGGCAGGTCTGGTCATACTGGTATGTGCTAAGCTAAGAAATACACTTGCTCCTTTGTGTTGGCTGTAATGCAACAGGAGAAATTATTTGCACTGCAATAAAAAAGGAGTAATTCACCTCTTCTTCAGCCTTCGGCACTGCTTTAGAAAATATTTTTTCTGTGTCTCCAATCCACACAACTGAAGGCTGCAATTGCTTAGCCACCTAGGACAAAATGGGGGAGAGAAGGCAAGAAGTTGATTAAAATGGCTACGATTTCATACCTGGGTGCTTATAGTTATGCTTTTGAATGCATATTTTGGTAGTTAAAATTAGCCTGGCTTATTTTTTTCCAGAAATGTTCAGCACTCATGGATAGCACTGGCTCTGCTCAGCAGTCTTGGCAACTCAAACAGTTTCTAGTTACGAACCTGACGTTAAGAACTCAACACAAATTGGATCATTTTGACTGCTATGCTTATGTTGCATTTCTCAACCCAAGTTCAGTTGCAGTCCTGCAAAAGGAAGCCTGGACTTGGAGTTCAATGGCAAATGACAGACCACCAGCAGCTTTACATTGGCTGCCCTGCCTGTAGGATCCTTTCCTGGTTTTCTGAGGGCAATACAGATGGGGAGACAGGCAAGACATGACTATTGCATGAGAAACGAGGGTACTAATCTTTAAGCAAAATAGGCTGATGTGCAATCTTCTGGCTTACAAAATAGCATTTAATTTGCAGTTAGCCCAAGAATTAAAATGGAACCTGTTAAATTTGAAGGAGGGGTCTATACAAATAGGCTTTCTGGCTCCAAAGTCAGAGGCACTATACCTCTGGTTCACAGCAGGATGGCAGCAATGCTACAGGCTTTTTCACATCTTGCACTCTCCCTATTGCTATAGAAACGCCAGTGGTTTAGACATTCTGCTGCCAAATTTTAATCACTTTCCAGTGGTTCTCAGAGCCGTGCTAGTTTGCTCAGCGACTAAAGTGATGGCTTGAGGAGTCAATGGGTAATGAGAGAGAGACAGCATTCTTCTGTCCTGCTTCGCCCCCGCCCTCCCCCCCCCCAAGTTGAAACTGCTGCTTCCAGGAAGGAAGCTTACAAAATCGATAGGTTGTATATATCATAAGCTCAGTGTCTGATTGACAGCCTGTGCAGGAAGAATTAAGTCATGAACATCTTTCTTCAAAGCACCGTAGTTCATTTTTATGGATGCATTTCAAAAGCACCAAGCATGTACGTGTCTGTACAGTAAAAATGGATTGAAGATAGGGGAAAAGAATAGTAGATGAGGGCTGTTAAAACTTGTTTGCTCTGCTGTGCTGCTGATGAGGTGAAGTGGAAACAATGCCATCTTTGGCATGTAACTCTTCATTTGCAGTAGCTCATCGGTCCTAGACTATGTCAAGTGGTACCTCCAAGTTCAGAACAGTTTCACTGAGGAAAGCTGAGCTGTTTTCCTTTGTTGGAAGGCAGGAACTCAAATGTTTAGCATTAATAATGAGGATTTAAAAAATAAAATCATCATATCGTGAAAGATAATATGAAAATCCTGCAGAAACTGATGTGTGGATCTAGGCAGTTGTGTGAATATTTACCTGCATGTATAATTTAAGGGGTAACTTCTCAGTCCAGCAGTGTATTGAGTATACAAGCTGGAATGAAATGACAGATTAAAATTGTACAGCAATAATATCTGCTATTTTAAGGCCAGATGCTTTTTTATCTATCTCCTATTTATCTATTTTCAGAGGTATGTTCAGCATATTCCTAAGCCTGCACACACTCTGCAAGGTACATTTGAGAGGGCAAGCTTGTGGCTTCCATTGAACTGAGCTGTGCAGCAGCCTTAGACTCAGGGGTTTTCTGCTGAGTATCCTGCTAGTCAAGGGCTCAGACACCTGCAGAAAATGCAAGTCAGTCCTACCGACTGACACTTGCAGGTGATTTTAGTTAGCTCCTGGCTGCCTGTAAATAGGTTTGCAGACAAGTGGTGAAAGAAGAGTAATGTGGTAGCATGATCATATAGCAGAGATGGGATAACTCATGTTCTTTGTAAAATTAAGACTTGGAAAGAAAAATAAAGGTGTAGTTTAAGTTGTTAAAAGAAACCTACAGCTTCTTAAAGAACTATATTTGCATTTTGTGCACCTACTATGAAATCTATCGTGACGTGTGGAAACTCTGACTCAGAGACCCTTACCGAACTCAGCACTGCTAACAAATGGATTATCAGCTGGAGCTTTCTGATGTTTCTGATGCTGACTTTTACCTTCTGAAACATAAGATAACAACCATTTTTCGCTCCCGCTCTGTGCGTGCCTGGCGAGGATGTTGGGAGAGAGATGAGGTGGTGGGAGACTGTTCCCCTTGAAGCCTGCCTTTCCCCCGAGTGAAGACTGGGCTGGTGGCATGCTGTCTACTCAAGTTTACAGACCGTGTGCATGCATTACCACCTGGATAGACTCTGTCACGGTGGGATCTGCTGTTGTTGTGGTGCTTCACTCGTGTTTACGACCAAAGAAGTGCTGTGCATTTACTTCGTAAGGAGAATAGCCATCATCTGGTATTTTTGCTTTGCAAGGTAATGCAATGTATGAAGTCTGGGGAGCCACGTAGCTGTTCTGCAATATATTCTCCATACCTGTGTGTCTGATGCTGCAGTGTGATGTACCAGGGGGAATAAGGGGTGGGGGAGGTTACAGAGGCTGTAAAAGCTGTCGGCAGTGGTTGAACCCTGCCTGTGTACTTCAAAGGGAACCATGTTGTCCCTTCAGTGGGGCCACCGCAGTCAGGGATGTGCACATCTTCCCCATTTGGCTCAGAGACTGCTTCTGTGGTTAGCAGCCCTCTAAAATGGAGCCTTAAGTTTTTAATCAGACTATAGTTTCATTTTAACTCTTAAGGAAGGGTGGTTACTGTTTTCACACCTGTAGTTGTCTTTTTTTTGTACCCTTTATTTCCGTACCCAGTAAGTAGAAATACAATGAATAAGCTCAGTTCTGTCTGTTTTAGAGATACTTTCCTGAGCTTTCTGTTTTGAGGCAATGATCTACATGTATAAAGTGGCCTGCATATATTTTTCTGGTGTTGATACACATTAATATGACCAAATTCAACACACTGCATTTGGGCCTGGCTGTTTCTTTTTTTTTTTTTAAAGACAGATCAGACACCCAGAATCCATCAGCATCTAATTTAAATTGTTGGCAGATATGTAGCAAACTGTATATCCCCTGTAAAAGTGCTTCATTTGAATTATCCATGGATAGTTCGAATCCATGGATAATTAAATGCACTGTACATAATTAATTTGTAATTGAATGCAGCAAAGCTAATAAAATTTCAACAATTTGTCGGAGCTGCCAGCAGATGGCTCCTTAACCCTTCTAATACCGCACTGAGCCAGGAGCTGCCCGTGCTGCAAACTGCTGTCTGATGGGTCACAGAGGCTTGATTTGCTCTTCAGGAAAATCGTTATGGAAAAAAGCCTTCTCGTTCTGCTGTCTATCAACATTTATCAAAGACCAAATAGCATTTTTTGAAAGCCTTGGGTTAAACTTTTCAAACCTGAGAGCCAGAGTTTAATAGTTAAATTGCTACACTTGAAAATACAGAAACCTGATTCTTGCAGGGGACATGTGCACAAGGCTCCTCCAAACTTGATGGCTTTGGTGGAATTTTTTTAAAAGACCCAAGACTAAGATTTTTCTGGAAGCTCAATTTGTTGCTGAAAACTACTCAATCCTCTGTTGTTTATATTCAGAAATGCTTCAAAGCAGCTAAAGCAACAAGATGCTGAAACCTGTGATTAGACCTTATCTATGGGAGCCTCAGCAGGCAAATATTCCAGTGCTACAGTGATGATGCCACTGTATTCTGGTTTGTTAGAAAATAACTATAAATACTGTCTTCTAACAGGATGCATTTCATTTTTTTGACGTTAGAGTAGCACAGTGTAAAGCTGCTTTGTCACAGAAATAACACTGTGTTTGAGTACTGGTGATATTTAACACTTCAAGGGTCTAGGCTTCTAGCAGGCTGCACTGCACCAAGATAAAAGAATTGCTCTGCGATGCCTGGAAGAAAGGCTGATTGTACTTGTTCCCAAATTTTGACGGTAACGGAAAAGTCTTGTGTGGCATGGAAATGCTAAATACATAGAGACATCTGTCAGTGTACTGGGGTAAACTGTACCTGGTTCTTCAGACTGCTGGAAAAATGACCCATTTGAAGGGACAATACAGCAGTGGTTACAAATAAGTGAACCTGACTGATTCAGTGGAAAAAAATTGATGACAGACTTCAAAATTATGTTGCCTCTGAATGCTGGGATCATATAATTTAATCTTAAACTCCATCGTATTCCTTTTTGGTATTACACCTTTATAGTTACCTCTGCCTTGCTAAATAGTATAACCAAATAGCCTCATAACAGAGTCCCCTAACAGTGATGGTGTTGAAATATTTCTGCAGCTTGCTGCTCTGTAAAGCTCCTTGTTCAGTAGAGACGGTTGCACAGCACACACTGAGCTGTTGATACACATACACGACTTCTCTGCTGGTATTTCCTCCTGGCCACCTCTTTCCCAACCTTTTAGCCTGGTCAATGTTGCACTAATAACACTTTCCCATGTGTGGCTTTTTGTACAATGTGCTTTCTGTGTGCTGCTGCGGCCCTGGTAAAGGACCTGAGAGGGGTTGTCTCACTCTGGTAGTGATTAACCTGATGGCTGCCTTATGGTTGCTAATGGAAGGCCAGTGCTTGTCGCTTTTATTGCCTTGGAGTTAAGCCTTATGAACTATCTGCATTTTTACACCTCTGTGTCATGGAGTCATGCATTCTACCCTCTCTCTGCGATCCTTTCTGGATTTGTTTTTGTTTCTACGCATTCTTCACTATCCCTCTTTGCATCATTATATATCCCTCTTTGCATATTATATTTGCATCAACACTGCAGCAGTGTTTTGTGCCTTGATGGGAACACGGGAGAGCCAAGCCATCGGTTGGTACAAGCTGGAAGAGAGCTCTACTGAGTTCAGGCTGGCTCAATACATGGAAAATGTGGCTTAACTGGAATATTCCAGCATGTTCTAGTTCACGCTTGAAGGGTGAGTTTTGTTTTGGGGACTGCTGGGAAGTGCTTCTATATTAGAGACAGATCCTCTCTTTTCAATCCAAAGCAGAGCTGACCTGGCAGGCTTTGCTGTGTCTTTATGGAGAACACAAGTGCTCAGGCTTGGTATTTGCAGCTTCTTTCAATAGTTTTCCTATTCAATATTAATCTTTCTTACATTTCCTTTGAATAGGCAGATTGAAATGTTGGTGTTTTCCTGTTCTGGTATGAGAAGTCATTTCCTCCATGTGACATTTAAAGTGCCTGCTTTGAGTAACACACAAGCCTCTCCTGGATCAGGGCTGGTATGTCTCTTGCAAGTCTCCTCCCTGAAATAAGGGAGGGGAAAAAAAGAATTTGGCTCTTGCATCTGAAACAAATTAAAGTTTCATTTCTTCCAATGCTATTCACTTGTTTGGGGTGTCTCCCACGAAACAACTGCCAGCAGCCAACACTCAGTTATGGACAGAAAGTTTCCTAATGGTCATTTTATGCTCTCCAGAGTTTCCTTTCATTACAGAAACTCCGTTGTTTGCAGATGTGATAGGTAATCAAAAGTGCAAGGTTACTTCACCTTTATCACAGCGCACCATTAATTCTTATTTACTAAATCTTGGTGTTTAACAACTGTTACATGGATCATAAGATAACAGAAAAAGAACTGTCATGTTTCCTGTCATTCACTTACAACTGTAAGTGGAAGATCTGTATTCTGCTTGACTAACTCTATACAAAGGCACTTCTGGAAAGCTGGAGTAGAAAGCTTGCTTGATAACAGTCACAGTTGCTGTTTGCAAAAAACATGACCAGAGGTGTCTGATTATGGAGACACGGTGAATCTTTTGGTGATCATCTGCGTGCAAGGCACTTTAACAAGATGTACTATGGTGTGTCAGATAGTAGACTGAGAGCTGTGGATATTGAATACTACATGTCAGCTGCAGGATACCATTTGCTTTCATGGCTTGTATGTGCCACTCTATATTGTAGTCTTACAATAATCCAAATGTGTTTACACCAGAATTTTTTTACCATGGTGAAAAATAAACTTTTTTTGACAAATACTAGTCTTCAGCCTCTTCCTGTCAAGGAATTTGTTTGCAATGTGTGTTGCCCTTGCGTTTGCTTCAGCTTGGGTAACAGTAGATTCCTGCAAATTGGGATATAAAAGATTCCTTATCCTTTGGTTCCTTGTAAAGCTGTTTTCCTAACATATAAACGATTTCCCTTGTTGCAACTTGTGTCTGTTGGCTCTTGTCCTATCGCTGTGCACCTCTGGGAAAAGTCTGGCTCTGTTCTCTGTACCAGGCTTATCAATGCCTGTCTTGTAACAGGGTAGTCCCATACTGGACACGGTATCCAGTTGTGGTCTCTTAAGTGCCAAATAGAGGGGAATAATTAATTGCTTTAAGTGGTTGGCTATATTCTTGCTGATATAGGCCAGTATGTGGCTGACTCTTTGCTGCATGGACATCCTAGGTGGAGGATTATGATACTGGATGGGAGTATTGGATGTTGTAAAGAAGCAGCAACTGATGGCAGGATAAATGGAGTGGTTGGCTGTAGCAGGGACTTTAGAGTTCCCAGAGACAGGGAAAATGGCACATTTGGCATTTGTCAAGACCAAAAAAAGAGGGATTGCAACTGCAGAGGTGAAATCCTGTGTGGATGGAGGATTGCTTCTAGTCTGGCTCTGAGAACCTACAGAATCTGAGTTGAAATCATCAGCAGATTGGACAAATTGGTGACTCGGCCACAGGGACAGAAAGAAGGTTGGCGGGGAGAGAGGTGAAACAACCAAAGGAATTAGGAATGGAAATTGAACATAGTTGATTTGAATGATGCTAAGACAGGCCGGTGCTATGTCAATATCAGTCTGCAGAGAAATGAGCATGCAGATGAAGTATCCCTTGGAAAGAGATACTCTGTGCTGTGCTGTTTGCTCTGTTACTAGAGGAGCAGAGTCTGAAGCAGTACTACTGTTGCAGTTGGAACAAGTCACCTTTTGATAAGCAAGTGCCTGGACAGCCCTTATTCCATGTGATTGACTGCGAGCAACTTCCATCCTGGTAACTCATGGAGGTTCACCGAAGTGTCATTGTTTCTTTTGTAAGAGCTACAGAATTAAGCTTGGACTGCTCCCCATAATTTTGGGGGAGGTGTTGGATAATGTTTCCATTTAAGTAATGTGGAAAAATGTAAGGATTTTTATATACCTATATCTAGACTTATGTACATATATATAATGTGTGTATATATACTTACATATCTAATGTCTGTAGATATACACACAGGTTTTATGTATGTTCCAGTTATTGTATATATTACATGTATACAAAAAACCTTAATACCTTCAGCTGGAACCTTCTATAGGAGTAAAAAAGCTGCCCTCCTTTCTCCTGTGTTTAAAGGCCTTGTGCTCTAGCAGGGACTAGATGATGGAAAGGATGGTGTGTGTGCTGTGCCTGCAGCCAGGCATGTGCTTTGTTATTGATGAGGGCAGAGAAACTAAGTGGAGAAGGGTGAAATGTGCAGAGCAGAGGGAGGAGAGGGAGTATTAGCTCAGTCTAATGGCACTAGCTTGTGTCAGGGAGTGCTAGACCCAGTGTTAGTGTTATGGCTTCAAAGGTGCATGATCACAGCACTGTCGCTTTTCCTTTGGCACTGCTCTGACCAGCAAGAAGTGGGGTCCTTGGGGATTGCTTTGCTTTTAACTGAAACCTGTCTTTTCTGAGGATGGAGGCACCTGTCACAAAACCTGGATTTAATAAAATACATCTGATAAATCCCAGAGAAAGCCAGTTTGAATTCAGTCTTTTAGTAGGCCTCTGGCACTGGAAAAATATTGTATTTGGCTTTTTCTAGTGTATGTGCTGTGTTTTTTCTTGCTAAGAGTATTTCGTCTGGAAATGTTTACCAGCTTCCTTCCTTAGCAGAAATGCTGAGGACTTAGAATGTGGAAGAAATCCTGCCAGGATAGTGTCTTTTTTCTGAAGAGGATTTGGGATATGTTCTTCACAGTTCATATGCCTTCTTTCATTTCCAGACTTCTCATACATTTCTGTTAATGTAATCCTGAACTAGGATTCCCTCTTTTGAAAAGCTTGCTGATAGGTAAACAGAGAGCAGTATAGGGGAGAGCTGTTTTACAGCAACAGTCCCAGAGAGGAAATTTTTAACCACCCCCAGTCTAGTATTTGATTAAATGCTGCATGGCAAGCATTCCTGACTGATGTGCATATAAACAGAGAACAGTATTTTCTTTATCTATGATGCTTTTCATATTCAAGGTAACACAAAACTTGCACAAATGTTAATGTGAAAAATATGGCTACTATGAGTGATTTCTCAAGGGGCATTAAATCCTCTACAGCGGTGCACGCTGTTGTGCTTTAACCCCAGCTGGCAACTAAGCACCACACAGCCGCTCGCTCACTCCCCCCTGGTGGGATGGGGGAGAGAATTGGAAGGGTGAAAGTGAGAACTTGTGTGTTGAGATAAAGACAGTTTAATAGGTAAAGCAAAAGCCACACAAGCAAAGCAAAACAAGGAATTCATTCCCTACTTCCCATCAGCAGGCGTGTATCCACATCATATGGTGTGGAGTGTCCCTTTGGTCAGCTGGGGTCAGCTGTCCTGGCTGTGCCCCCTCCCAGCTTCTCGTGCACCCCCAGCCTGCTTGCTGGTGGGGTGGTGTGAGATGCAGAAAAGGCCTTGACTCTGTGTAAGCACTGCTCAGCAGTACTGAAAACATCCCTGTGTTATCAACCCTGTTTCCAGCACAAATCCAAAACACAGCCCCATACTGGCCGCTATGAAGAAAACTAACTCTATCCCAGCCAAAACCAGCACACACATATTGGCGGTCAACAAGTGGTTTTGAAAACTTGAAAGCAGGGAGGGAATTTCAAATTGGGTTGGCAGTCCTTTGGACCTTGGGCAGCTTTGCCCTTGTATGACTGGTGTATATGTTCCTCGGTATGGAGGAAGTACAATTCAATTCCCTATTTGTTCCTCAAAAGATGCGATGAACTTGAACCAACTTTGTAGAGAAGTACACAAAACGCAGTACCTTGAGAACCATGTGAAGCATCATTTGCAGGCCATTCTTGCCTGGATATTTCCCAGCAATGTTGGAAGCAGATAAGTTGAAGAGGTTGGCTCCTGTTTCTGTGCAGATGGCATGGACCAACATTTTCTTTCCAACACCAGTGGGTCCAGCTAGTAACAAGGCTTTCACCAAAGGAGCCTTCTCATGGACTGTTTGGGAACCTGTAAAAAGTCATATGGCACTATTATTGCTTTCATTTAAGTCTGCCATAAAGGTAATGGAATGATTCTTCCTTTTTTCTTCACTGTAAATAATTTACAATGTGAACTCATTGTTTCCCTAATATGGCACAAGTGCTCTTGAGTTCAATTCTGTATAACCAGAGCTGTGACTGTAGCACATTTGAGTTAACATTTGTTTGTACCAAAACTCAGCCACCCTTATTTGTACCTTCTGACGGGCAAACTTCAGCTCTAAATCTATGTAAGCTAAAAGAATGGTAATTCATTGGTAAATTTTTGAGGACAGACACAAGATAAGAGCACTGAAATGTAACTGCTGCTGGTGGCTATGTGTACAGACAAGCCTGCTGCTCTGCACAGGGACAACTGCCTTCCTTCAGCTGTCAGGCAGAGGTAGAGTTAGAGATGTACCTGTGGCTTTAAGCTTTGCATTTGCTGTCAGATCAGTTCATCACTTTCTGCAATTGGACAAGGGCGTAGATTCATGTTGCTCATAGGACTAGCAGAATTCGTTCCTCCTGCTGTCTGAAATGACACTTTCCAGCTTCCCCATCTTTAGAGAAAACAAACTAATGGGACTATCTGTTGGAGCTGCATTTGTCAGTGATTTTGAAACCAGATGTTACCGTATGTTTTATTTTCTGTCCTTTAACTTCTGCACACACCTCCCTTTTTGGGGTAATTTTTCCTCTTAAATGTTATTGCTCTTCAGTGAGCATTGGAGACTCTGACTGTTTGTCACTTTAGGCTAGCTCTGCTCCAAAATCCTTCACTGCTGTTATCCCCTCTACGTGTGCCTGCTGAGTGTAGTGTTAGTTTATCTGCACAGGAGCCAATGTTATTCCCCAGTCTGGAACATGGCAGTTGCATGTTGCAGAGCAGGTACAATATATCTGCTAGGAGGAGGAGGATCCTTTTCTGTTCCCCTCATTTTATTCGGGTGAGCAAATGCCAAGGTTGCTATGCTTCACTTGCTCTGCCAGCAGCGATGACTGCTCAGCATTTCTAAATCTGTCTCTATGTCTGCCCCAGGTAAATTCATTCTGGGCTGTAAGAAATATGCTCTATCACCTGGGAAAGCCTAGCAGAAATGCCTGTGTTGTGAAAACAGAATCACAGAGAGAGATTTACATGGCTGATGGTGATAGAACTTGTCTTCCCTGCAGCTCTGTCACTGTAGGAATTAGGTACAGGTGAACCTCCAGAGATGGAAGTAGCAGGAAATGTCATCTGCTTTATCTGTACCCACTGGTAGTCCAGTAACATTGCTGCCTCGATGCCTAAAACTGTCCTGTGTCAGTACTGGTGGTTGTTACAAAGTCAGATTTGAAAATCTATGTGAGCATCCACTACTTCTGAAGGTCTTTGAGACTGGTGTCTATCAGACTATGGGACTCGTGGGGGAAACCAGCCCCAAAAGTGATAGGCTGCAGAGGGACCCTATGGCTTAGCCTGGAAAAGTTCTTTGGGTTAAGGGGGACAGCTAGGTAAGAATGGTATTTAAAAACAAATCCAATCAGGCTGCCTATCTCTGTCCTAATGGTTTAACATCCCAAATATATGACAGTGAACCGAATGGTAAGATGAATGCCATTATTTCAGCACTGTGCAGGATGTAGTGAAGTTGTCAGCCACCCAGGCTTTATTAATATTTGGTCGTTCCATACCAATCTATTACTATTACACATAGATTTATTATGAGGCGAGCAGCAGACTCCTCTGTGGTTAAAGATGAAGTATATCTTCTACTATTATTTCTCCTTTCAGCTGATTATAATTTTTTCAATGCCATTTAAGCTGGAGCCTTCCTTGCCACCAGGTGACTACTTTGAGAAAAACTTTCACTTCTACACATACAGAATTATATAATGATTAACTAGTTCTGAGACAATTAAGTAAAATGTCATCCATAACATATCACCCAAAAGGTGAAACGATTCCTGTGCCTCTTTCTTGGTTCATGCAAGATCTCCCTCCCTACCCCCCCACTTGAAGGCATATTTCAAACTGCTATTGCAAATATATTCTGTTTATTTAACTAGTCTAGGGTATCTTCATCCCAGATTTTTAGCCAATTTTATAATTTATGGGTTCTCTTTCCTCTTGCCTTGGGGGTGTCTTGGGGCTTGGTATCACTAGATTAGATGGTGTTAAAACATAACCTTGGAGGAGTTATATGTGAAATACCACGTTGCAGTCAGTGCAGACAGGGATAACTGCTGAGCTCTCTCAGCTGATTGCGGTTGAACTTGCAGCCAAACCCTGAGGGTTTACCCAAACCCAGCTGAGAGTGTTTTAGATGGGAAGAGCCCCATCTAGATTGAAGGCAGGGGTGCTGCTAGCATCCTGTTTGTTAACCTGACTCTTCAGATTGAGCTGTAGGGCAGAAAGAGCACTCTTCTCCTCCTCCTGAAAAACCCAAATGAAGCAGACTTGTGCACTATTGCACCAAGCTTTCTACAACACTTTGAGCCCGCTTTGGGTACAGGGGGAGCCAGAAAATGCCTGAGGAGAGCCACAGAGCATGTACGTACAGAATAGCCCAAGCACTGGTCTTTGTGGAAGGCGTGCAAAGGGGAGGGAAAAGCAGAAGCTCTGTGTCATCTCTGCTCCATTTGCCAGAATGGGAGGCAGGGAGATGTCAGCTATTTTGCTCTATAAAGGCGATGAGCAGACAATGACACAGCCTGGGGGAGGATATGCCTAGTTAAAATCTCCCTAAAATCCAATCAGGAATGGAACAGGATGCAAGCAAAGTATGAGTAGACGTCCTTGAGACAGGCACTTCTTGCAATCACTAGAGTTTGGCTTAATGCCATTCCCAAGTAAAATATGGGATAGATTTTATATTAAAAGCAAACAGCCTGACCCAGCAAAGCCTTGTTAGATATTGGCTAAGTCTGGCATTAAAACTGCAAGGGCATTTAAAAAGTGTTCTCTCTGATGTACAAAATGTATCCAGACTAATTCCTTAAATGATTGCATTGTTTAGTACTGAGTAACACTAGCCAGCTTGTAAAAGGTAAATTGCAACCTTAGCCCTTCCCTTAACTTGATTAATTTTGATCACTGGAGCTTGTTTTAGCTATTATCTTTCCCAAGTGATTTCCTTTTATGTGCTGCCATTCACAAACTGTTAACATGCAAACAGAGATGGTATGGAAATGCAATACCTGACAATAGCATGTGCAAGCTCCTTTATGCACTATTAAAATGATATGGTCTTCACTCAGAAGGCTTAATTGAAAAACAATTATACTGCAAAATGCTTTAGATTACGATTAATCAAGGCCTGTCAAAGCCAGTAAAAATGCATGTTACTGACAGGAAGCAAAGCCGTTGTATTCTGCCCTCTAGTAATTTTTGCTGTGCTCTTACCTAATGGCAATATTCCATACAGTGCTATTAGCTGTCTGACATCCGCGAGACAGGGCATTGGCTCTATATCTACCTGACGAAGTGTGGTCCCCAGATAGCTGTACTCGCCTGTAGGGAGGAAGCATGGGCTTAATAAACGTGACACTGCATTGTTATAAAACGCATAACTCAAGTAATGAAAAACTACCATAGAATACCAATATAACGTGCTCTCAGCAAACGCAGGACCGTCAAGGGACAGGGACTCAAACAGGGCAATATTGTTGTGGAATGTGGCCCTGAGAAATTTGAAAGGTGAACTGCAAAGGAAAATGAAGTTAAACACACTCTGGACTTTCCCTTCCAGACTATGGAAGGCGTTTAGCAGAGCAGTCTGTCTCAAGTAACCTTTTAAAGAAACTTTGTGGAGAAGAATCATTAGTAGCACCGTAAATCACACTGCTGGCAAAGGATTTCTAGATTTGGGATTCTGCAGGGCTGGAATCCCAGTGAACTACACTCTATCAAAAGGATTTCAAAAAGGGGGAAAAAGATATTTTAACAAGCATTTCCCCTGGCTGCATCACATCTCAGCTTTTCACTATGTTAGACATTTAAGTGTGTCATCTAATTTGGTGGGGATCTTTGCTTTGCAGTTCACCTTTTTTGTTAAAAAAAAAAAAACCTTCCACAAAACAACCCAAGAAAACTAAAAATCCCTAACGTGAACTGAAATGATCTAATCTTGCCTCAGCTCTTGTTACAGAGCCATAATCACATTGCTTGCCCTGTCAAAGTCCATATACAAGACATGTTAGGCAACAAAGATCCAGAAGGATGGGCCACAAGCAAGAAAACTAGTTGTGACAATGTAGTCAATTATTATTTTTTTAGCATAAAATACATGTCGTTATGGTGAATATTATTGAAAAATAATAGTATATTATGTTTTATTGGCGTTAAAAAGGGAGAGCGCTAGAGCTCTCTGGAGCAGAGGTAAATTAGCAATGGTCAAGAGAGAAAGTGGAGTTGTAATTTGGGGGCAAAAAGGCAGACAAGCCCTGGTGCAACTGCCCCCTCCCCTCTGAAGAATAAAATTCATTTCAGGTTTTATCTTTTATTTAAGGAGAAATCAAAAGAACTGGATAGGAATTAATCTTCACAGATTTAATTAGAAGGCATCAAAGGGTTTAATTGCAACTGAACATAAATCACAGTGGATATTCTCTGACTAATTTAGATAAGGTCACCAAGAAAATTAGTTCAGTGATGTCGGTTTTTCATAGAGGGGGGACGTTTCGGTGCCTTTACTTGCTGTGTAGCACACTTCCACTCTTTGTCCTTTCCCCAGGAACTGGGAGCAAGTGACCTTCCTTAGACTTCAGCCCTGTAAGAGCAGAGCAGATGAGGACTTACTGTTCTGCAGACTTGTGTCCTTGGAACCTTAAAGGGGGAGGTTTTTTAGTATTAAAAAAAAAAAAAAGTCCAAATCCTAGGCCAATTTTAAATGCTTTCTGTATCTTGTTCTGGCAGCTCAAGAAGCATGACTAAGTTTTGAGTGGGGAAGAGCTGGCTTTGACAGTTTGGGCTACATCCTTGCTGCCTGGTCTGCATGGGCCAGCATCTGTGCTGGGAACCAGGGGGGACGTGACATGGGTGTAGGCAGCCAGGTGAATATCACTAGACTCTGCACTTTTGTGCCTAACATCATCTGCTGCTGGGAAGTGAACATTCCTAGTGTAATTTGGAGCAGCCCTTGTGTTGCTCTATGCTGCAGAGGAGCCAAGGCTTCAAACCTTAGGGTCAAGGGAAGATGGCCCAAAGCAATCTCAGCCTGCTTCCAAGTTTGATGTTACCAGCTGTTAATTATTATCCACTGGCTAAGATGTGCTTTCAAAACATCTGTGGTAGGGAATGTTTATTGGACAAAAGTGACCTTGATGGTACTGGTTGGGTGAATGAAGGAATAATGAAAATCTTCTATTGCTTTACTTCGTGATCTTTAACGAGCATAAAATGGATGGAATACTTGTTAATTCAGCCTGCAACAGAACAGGCAAAGACTCTGAAGGCAGTAATTGGCTCTTCTAAGAGTTTATATAAACATGGCATTTAGATGTGATGTATGAGTATCCAGCTTTTCTAGCTCAGATACACAGTATACTAACAGCCAGTGATGTTGTGGCTTCTGGATGTCTGCAATTCAAATAACGGTGGCCTTTGAAACAACTGAATTTTGGTTTTTTTGCTGCTAAGGCTGCTGTGACTTTACTGTATGTCACCAAATGCTTTTGGAGATGGTGTCAGACCCCTGTGCAGCCTGCAAGTGGCTTGTGTTTTTGTTGGTTTTTTTTTTTTTTTTTTTGGTCTGTGTAGAGCATGGGCAAGCATGTCTGACTGCAGCTGCAGGTAACGGAAACTGGGCAAGAGGACTATAAAATGCAGAACTAGGCAGGGACACATCTTACTCAAATCAGGGCCGGACATGCCTCAAAGCGCTGCTCGAAGTTCGAGGGCAGTCAGGGAGGTGGAGGTAAGGGGGTGAGTCTTCTCTGCTGAATGAACAAATGCTGAAGGTACGATTTTTGCTGTTCTCTGGGAAATGTTCTGGATGGATTATGACCCCTAGTCTGATAGACTTGCACTGTCTTGCCAATGCCTGGCCAGTGCTCCTTAAAAGATGTCCTGGTTCTACCTCAGTGTGGCTTGTGACATCCAAAAACTTTGAAGGCTTCCAGGTGTTAAGTGTTTGGAGCTAAGCACCAGCTCTACAAACAGGTCCTGGTTTCTGTAGCGGAAGTGAAAGGCACTGAGCACCCTGCAGAAACAGACTTGATTTGCATACATGGCTTTAGATATTAAAGTTGGAAAGTCCTGAAAGCATAATTACTCTTGAACTCATTCTTGACTGGAAGTAGGGGTCAGTGAACACTGAATGGCTGGAGGTTTGGTTAGAATAAAAACCATATTAGCTGTAAAATGTGTACTTTACCAACATAATCGGAGAGATTCACAGTCTTGGCTTTTATTAGTAATCCTTCTTCCACTAGTTCTCTGTACAGAGAATCGATGGTCCTATGGGCAAGAGACATCACTCAGAAATTCTAGGGAACTGTAAGTAAAAGCTTAGTCCTTCAAGAATTGAACTAGCTTCGGAGTTATTTATGCTTCCTCAGCTTTACAAATGTATTTTGTAGCTCAGAAGTAAAGGTGATTAGCTCCATCAATATGAAATCAATAAGTACAGTTTTCTGCGTTATGGCAAGGAATCTCTTTTATTACCTCACACACTGCATGGCTCCCTCTCACACCAATTCCATTACCCATTTCCAGGTGATGCAAGATCAGTTATGACTTGTGTAATAGACTCATTAATATCAATTACTGTGAAATTATTTTTAAATTATATAATAATAGCAATCCTAGCACTACTATACCTATTCACTTAGCTTTCCAATTAGTAGTAATTCATTAATTCTTCCTGGAACTTATTCTGTTTGCAATAGACAGCCTCATCTCGTCAGGAACACACTGGGAATAACTCCATTGGAGCAACCAGTGGTCCATCTACTGCAGTGTCAGGGTGATGCTGGCCAAAGGAGGATGAGGGGAAAAACATAGTGGAAACTGGCATAACTTCTCCAGTGGAACGGCTTCTTCCTATCTCCATTAGTGGTTGGGAATAGCTCCCAGTAATTGAGGATTTAATACAGTTACATGTGTATCCAGTTTTCTATTGGTGTGGATGTTCTCCTTAGTCTCTCTTTTGGAGTTCTATCTAAATATTAATTTCAATGACATTTTTGGCACTGGGTTCTACAGATTGATACTGCTTCAAGAATTACATAAAATGAGTAAGCCTGTTGGAAATTCTTCTTACGTTGTTAGTGTAAACAATATTGATTTGAACCTTTCTAGGTCTTTCACTGTTTGTGCACTTTTCACATCCTTTCCCTTCAACATCTGAGCTTTTTGTGTCTTTGTCGCCTATCTTAATTTTGGGACATTCTGGTATTGCTACAATAAAAATATTTAATATAACTCTCATCAAAACCATATATATAATTTGAGGTCTGCAGCCCTTTTCCATTTCAGCTGGGAAGTTTTATGTTTATGCAGTGTTAGTGGCACAATTAATATAGGAGTCGTAATAAGGAAATAAAAATTTAACGTACCTTCAACAACGTTGATTTTGCCACTCTGACTCTTGCTTTCATTCTCAGTGATTTTATGTTGGAGTATGCATCATAAAACAAGCAGAAGGTAGAATGGGACTAACCTGACAGTTCTGTTGGGAGCATGACTTCTACTTTTCCCGTCTTATTATTTTTACTGTGCAAGCTTAATGATGCATGCCCTGAGTCTCCTCCAAGTAAGTGTGATGTGATCAGTCTCTGTTGACTAAAGCCCCCTGTGCCCCCTCTACCATGTCAAAAATGAGATGAACCTGAGCTTTTCTTGGTTACTTCTGAAATACTTCCTCCTTCCCTGCTCAGCAGGGAAGAGCAAAGTACTGGAGCCAAAATGCCACGTAAACTCTGATTAAAAGGCAGCTATAAAAAGCTTGTGTTCTGAAATGGCTGTATGTTGTATTAAGTTTGTTTATAAGAAGCAGGTATGTGCAAGAGTAAATTTAAAAGCACAGAATATATGCATACTTGTTAGACTTTGGCACTGTTCTTGTAAGAGAGGTCATGCTCTGTTATAATCCATGACGCGTATATTTTAAATATTTGCTTGGAGAGGTTTTTTATTTTAAAGCAGGTAAAGAGATCATTGACTGAATGGGTAGTGCTAGCACCCAAATGACCTAGTCCAGGTCTTGCTGTGCATGTCTCGTACAAATGGATTTGTGGGGTTAATCCCATGTGCTTCCTCCTGCAGTGACTGAGTGTGTTTGTCTTCATGCTGTTCTCCAGCCCTGCTCTCTTAGGAGCTGGGTCTTGCATCTGCCCTGCTGCTGGATCAGCAGGTCCCAGCAGTGATACCTCTGCATAGGTGTCTGTATTATGTGTACAGGTGAAAAATGGCTGGATTATCAGTGAATGCATCATGACCCCACTGAAAATGTAACGTCAAAAGAAGAAATCCTCTCAAATCCTCCAAAGAAAATAAGGGTGCTTAAAAGAGCAAGAATACACCAATTGCCAGGTCTGCCAGAACTCTTATTGATAAATAAGACTGATTTATATGACATGTACATCTTACCTAAGATGTGAAGGGTGACTAAGAGAGTATAGGGGCCTGTCTGCAGCCTCCCTTATCAGGCTTCAGCTGGGATGGAAAATCTGACAGTCAACAAAACTGCCAGGTGCTTCTGCACCTGCAGAGAGGATGGGAAAGAGGCAAACAGGGCCGATATCCTGCCTAAATGTTAAATGTGCTTAGCTTTGCATACTGGAATTAACCTGACTGAAGTTAATGGAGACTGGCTCTAGTGGTGTGTTGTTGCAGAATGGGGATCTTAATTTGTATGCGTTGTTGAAGATGGGGGGGAAAAACAAGATCTGTGCTGTGTACTGTTAAAGCAGTGTTTTGTTGCCGTGTTATTTGTGGTGCTGCGAAGCCATCAGTCGGGGAGGGGCAGTGGGAAGGTTGTAGTGTTCACTGGGAATGCAAAAAAGGTTTTAGCTAAAGCGTATGTGCTTCAAGTTTGTGAAAGATTTTTTTTATTGTCTAGGCTTTTTATGGATGTTTATAGCTGTTAATAAAGAGGTTTTATTTTAGGGCCCCTGATGCTGATAAGTGTAGCAATGTTGAGATGCTCCCTGTGTAATTAAAAACTAAAAGGGTTGACAGCATATCTAATGCAAAGAGGATGCAGTCTCTCATCGTCTGAATCTCAAGTAAACAGGTTCTCTCTTTACCTGTCAGGAGTTAGATCTTCCTCCATCTCGGGTATCTTTTTCCTCATGGTTGTCCTTTTTTTCTGAGGACCACAAAAACAGGCTGGAATTAGTGACATTAATCCATATATGTATTTTTGAATGTACTGAAGCAAAGTGAGGGTCAGAACAGCAGATGTTTCAGTGTTTGAGTGTGGCCCTTGTTACTGAAGGAACCCAAAGGGAAAAATCATACCCTTGAATGCCCTGAGGGAAGGAAGTCATGTCCCCATTTATAAAAGCACAGGAGATGTTCCTATTTATTTACCTCACCAAGGTACGGGAGAGGTGAAGCACCCCTGCCTGAGGAGCTCTGTCCAGCCTACAAATCTCATGCAGATCCTATGGCAGGTGCTCTTGAACTGGATCCTGTATGAAGCAACCTGGTGGCTGTTGCTTCCTTCTAGAATATAGCTGCTCAGGGAGCCTGTACACCTCCCCTGCATCTGCCACCTCCCCGGTGAGTGCCCAGAGCATTGTACTTTAAAGCAATCAGTCCCACTCCTTCCAGTTGAGGTTGTGTACAAAAGAATCCCAGGGTCATTTGCCCCAAGAGAAAACTCTTCTCTCCTTCCTTTTTAGAGCACAACTCTGTGGCTAAGTGGGTATGGTCTTTACCCAAGAGGGAAGCAGGAAGGAAAAGGGTGTGGGGTCTAAGTAGTTGCTCCAGAGACTGTTCATGCTTTTTTTACATTGGGGTAAAATATATAAGCAGCTTCCCTGAGGGTCACGCAGGGTGCTTATAGCTGGACCAGGACCTGAAACCAATCCTCCCGAGTCTCTGGCTAGCCTCCTAACATCCTTCTGCCTTCTCTTTCCTAATGCCTCAGGGAAGAACCTTGAAGAGGTCAGAATAACAGGACCTGCTCTTGATATTTTCACCACACTTTCACTATGGGAAGATTTTGACTTGTGTGACTAATTTCTTTACACACTGCAAAAAAGCCCATGGAAAACATAAATAAGAAAGATGTGAATCAGTAAAGTCAAGTCCCTCCACTAATTACAGCTCACAAGCCATAAATATGGTTAGGGATAATTAGTAGTGGAGAGGGAATTATTAATCCATGTTAGTGCCCACCACCGGTGTCCATACTTAAGTTTTGCAAAGCACTTTAGAATTACTTCAGTGGAACTATTTACACAATGACATTTGTGCACCACGGGATTTCTTCAATGGCTTAAATTTAAGCATGTGCTTAAATACTTAGTTGATCAAGACAGCTTATTCTTTTCAAAAGTTTATGTTTGCTTTCCTGGGAATACAGTTGTGTACTTTATTTTTTTGTAATAGTGAATACTTCTGCAGAACTCTAGAGGCCATGTTGTTGAGTTAAAAAATCCTATCCAATTATCTGGAAAATGCTGTTTTTTTTTTTTTTCTAGAATGGATCAGCAGTGTTCAGAAATATATCAATTGTAAGTTTTCAAGGACAGTTGCAATGTAAATAACCCATGGTTCAATCACCTGTTACTGTTTACAATGCAACAAAGATAATCTAGATTAAAATGTAAATTAAACCCAGAACTATATGGATAAGCTAATTGGGAAAAGGTGATGGTTTTTAAGTGTTGGATTAGAATAATGCAAACAACTCTGTATTTGCAGAACTACACCTCAGGTTTCTTTACATAAATAAGCTTGGCAGCAAATACTCGTTAGAATGTGCCGGTGGGGTTTTGCTTTAAAGAAAAGGAACAGGAAGAACAAAGCATATGCCATGCTGTTTTAACAACCGAGGAAATATTGAGACTGTCAGCAGTTTATTTCTGGTGTTCCTCCAGCTTTGTCTCTTTAACCTTTCTTCCAACAAGCTAAAATTACATATCATGGGGTCTGACTGGGATGAAAAGCTCTTTTCTACCTATGTAAAGACACTAAGCATATGTTGAATTTATTGGCCAACTGGTATTGTCCTCAAGGCAGCTTCAACAATAAAGTAACTCAAGAGCAAAACAAAAATGAACTATGCAGGGGAAAAATGTGTTTTCCTAATTAACATCAGCATTTATGGAAAATTTGGCAAACACTGAGATGCGATAAGGGGAAATATGAATTGTAGACAATGGCTTTCCTCCAAAATGTCTTATTGGGAACTGCTTTTATTTAGAAAATGATAATGTTTAATGAATGTGAACATGCTCATCGTTTATAATGGAAATCTCCTTGTTTCTATCTCTGAAATGTCAGTCTAGCTTCTGTGTAGCCATCCATTTACTCGGTTATTTTCTGCTTTGCTAAGTCACATGTAGTGAACTGCTTTAGCTATTAGTTGGTGGATGACAGAAGACTGTCTTCCGTGCTCAGTGTGGTATCTTGTCTTACTGTGTGGGCTCATGAAAATGTTTGGAGTAGCTCAGAGCTTGCTACAAGCAAACACAGACCTGATTTCAGACCAGATTCCAGAGCAGAGAGTCTCTGGCACCAGAAGGGAGAGAGTAGCCAAAATGTCGCATTGAGGGAACTGTTCCACATTGGAACTGCAGGACCTGTGTCTTTGGCTGTGAATCATACAAGTCCTGCTGCCATCAGCTGTCTGCAGCTACTGCCACCAAGTATGTGGAGAAGTAATGAGAGGAAAGTACTTCTGTGGTTTGAGGGAAATGACAGTGTATAAGCAGCAGTCTGAGGTGTTTGAGTGGATTCCTTAGACCGTGTGTGATGCTTGGATGGGAGGCTGAGCAAATGCAGATTTGCACTGTGTGTGCATCCGCTCTGGATTGAGAAGTCTTTTCTGGCAATGGCAAGATATAGAGAGCAGCTTCTGATATTTGTACTGAAAAAGCCCTTAGACAAAGATGTTCCCACTGATTATTAAGCCCTTGTTAAATGAGGGGCTCTAATTTTTTGTCCCTGTTGGATTTAGCTTCAACAGCCAAAGAGGTTACAGCCCTGACAGCTGGCTGAGAACTGTAGGTGCTAATCTCCATCAGCTACAGAAAATCCAACAGGGATTGCGAGTCGCTGTCCTCACACCTAGCCTTTCTTCAATTCTGACCCTAGCCTTATTCATTATGGCTTTGCTCTTATCAAGTCTTTAGACTGATGTCAATACTCCTGTCATAGCCATTGCTATAGTTAATCTCCTGTGGTTTTCTTTGCTACTGTCCAGCTGCATCAAAAGGGGATATCCAAAGCTGGGTTGAGATGTTAGCAAGGCCTATTTCAGAAGCAACTCTTACACACTTAAGTTCCCATGCCTCCTCTTTGTTTTTTCTGAATTTGGGCCATGCCTTTTGTGTATGTGTGGGTGGGTTCGCTTACAATGGATTGTTTTACCTGCAGTTGGATTGGAAGCAAATCCTTAGGGGAGCAGAGCAGGAAAAGCAGCACAATAGGCCTGATAAAAAGCACTCTGATAAGCACTCAAATGTAACTTCAGGTCAGTAACTGCAGAGCTGATCTGTCAGCTCTTACTTTGGGTGCGAAGCCAGGTCTGCAGTTGTGTATTTGCAAATTTCCAACAGAAACACCCTTGGGTGCTAAGCCCTCTGGGTACCATGGTTGCGTACGTGGCATCCATCTAGAAGAAACACTTGTAAAGCTGGTGGGTTGTGTTGAGCCACCCAAATCAGAAGCTTGGGTTGTCAGCAGAAAGGGGTGGACTCAGAAGAACAACATTTCACTAAGAAAAGTTTGCACTGGCACGAGGATGCCACCAACTTACTTTGGAAAATGCTAGCCCTTTCTCTTTCACTTCAGGTGCTTTATAGCAGGCTCTAGCTAGGCTGGGTGGGGACTTGGACTTTCTGATGTTTCTTTCCTAGACATCGGTGCCATATGGAGGCAATCTCCCTTCAAATCTTTCCTCAGCCTGCCTTTACACAGGTGCTTACAATCCCAGCTTGCTGAAACATGGCTGGGCAGATGACAAGCTGCCACTGTGCACAGTGAAGAAAAATGCTATTTGCAGCAGAGTTGAACCACATTCCTCTGCTTCTGTTGTATCCTCACCCTCTGTCCTGCGACAATCATCAGATAAGGAGCTATCTGGAGCAATAAGAGTGCAGCACAGTGTGTCTCTGAACGAGAATACTTGTGCTCTATACCCCATCAATGCTGGACTGTAAGGACAAATGGGGTGAGATGCTTCCAACACGGATACAGGTATGTGAGATCATATGATATCATATCACTGCCTCAAATGATAGCAGTATGGTTTGTTGCATACTAGCTGCGATGTGATTAGTTAAGGTATTTCCATACCAGCCTAATGGTCTGGAGACTCATTTGTAATGAGAAGAGCAATTTGTCCTTCCACCTAAAATGATTCTTCCACAAAGGTGGCAAATAGGCTTTTTATCTCAGAGACAGTAAGAGTAATTCTTGATAGGGTTAAGTGTCAGCTTTTAGTATTAAGTGGTATTTGAAGGTTTGGGAGCCAGTGATAAAGTTCAGCCCGGAAAGTACAGTGCATGGAAATAAAAGAGTGGTCTACACACATGCCTGGAGTTGTTAAATTTTGTTTCTCTAAGACCTGAGCCACCTGAAACACTGAATGGGAGGGAGCTTCTGCTTTTCCTTTAGAGTCTAATTCCAAAAAGTCCTTGCTGAATCCTCCACAAAAGGGGCTTCCAAACAGGATTTCAAACTCAAATTCTCTCCTGTGAGTCAGATTTTTTTTTTTTTAACATGGACTTGGCAGAATTTCTTAAAGTTGTAAACTAATTATCCTAAGGTGTGCTTGAAAAGGCAGAGGACATCTATCCGGTGCACCCCTGGGTAGTGACTGCTCCCTGACAACAAAAAAAGGCCCAGTTCTACTGTGATGTCTTTCTGCAAAGAAAGTAGAAGAAATCCCTCCTTACAACAGAGGGGATGGCTAAATGTGGCATTGTGAATTTGGGGTAACTGTCCCTAGACAGAAAACTCCACTTGTAAGAGTTCACTTAAAGAAATAACCCTTGCTGCCCATTCCCCACTGTCAGAGTGCAGAAAAAGATTTGTATTCTCTGAAGAATGTTGAATCCCCCTGAGAATGCTTTTCTTTCCAGAATATCCCTTTTGGGAGGGGAAAAAAATGTTTTACATCATGCTGCAGATGTATTCATGGCTACAATGAGAATCCAAACCCACTGTTGTTTCACATTGCATAGTTGGGGGGAGACGTATGGCACCTACGATGTGGTAACACATGCCTTGGAAAAACTAGAGCATTTTTGCTGAATAACAAATTAATAAGCTGCTTTCAAAACTTTCTAGCTCCTATTACCTTTGTTATATAGGCCAGATTTTCATAAAGCAGATCTGAAACTTGTGTGCACAGGTATGCACACGCTGTGTTGGTTTATGGGCTGAGATATTTATGCAAATACAAATTAGAAAAAGCCTTTGCCAATGCTGATTGGACACTTCAAATAGTTTTGCACAGGAAAGATGTGTTTTGATTAAAAACTGGATACCTCCTTCCATTCCCCCCCCCTAAAACAGAACTGTTTTGGTTTTTTTTTTTTTTTTTTCAGAGAAAATCTTTAGGGAACTTGTATTATTTAATTAGTACTTCTTTCCCCTCTTCTCCCCCCTCATTCTCTCAGGCTACTGGCACAATTTGGGAAAACAAAAGTTAAATGACCTCCCTCCATCCAAAACCATTCCAACATTATATTGAAGGAGAAAAAAACCATCCCTAAGATAAAGCTTTAGAATTCCAATGTGACATTTTGAAGCAGTTTTGACCAGCTGATCTAAATGCATCTGCTCATGATGACTTTGGGAAGATTGTTGCAATATTTTGTCTGTATATCTTAAGCCTCCCTATTTTTGAAACAGATTTAGCAATCCAGTTGGTATCAGTTTTCAGAGTCACTCCAGTCTTGCATTATTAAATTGCCCCTGCACCTTCATCAGGTGAAAGAGCATTTTTAACGATAATTTGAGTAGAAGTACTGCAGCAGCAAGTATTTGCATGCTAAAGGGATTACAGAAATGAAATACAACATGAGATTAGGGTTTGCTATTTGCCCTGAAGGATTTTAAGTGGATCTGCTGATTGAATGGTCGGGTTTGTAAGCTTTGAGTTATTTTGCACTGACATGATCTATAGTTTAAATGCTTGGGTAAGGAATTCAGGGAACCGCAAGCTGTGGAATTTGGCATATGGTAATGCTGTGAAACTACATGTGAACATGATGTGTGCTGTGTTTCAGTGGGTAACGCATTAAAATAACATATGTCTTTAACATATTTTATATGCTTAAGTAAACTTGGCTTAATTGCGAGTTCCCAAACACTTCAACAGTTAGTAGTAATGTAGTTAAACAATGTGTACCTGGCTTTATGTGATCTATGTGTTGTTACAGATAAATGAAAGGTCACACCAAGACAGTCAAAGTGAATTTTTTTTGGTGTACTGTTTTGAAACACATTAACCAGTCCTCATTTAGAAGGAAAACAGCCGGCAGCTGGCAAACTTACTGACACCCAGATCCATGCCTTCCTTGGAAGTCTGTATTAATCTGAACCTGCCACCTTGAAGAGAGGAACTGCTTGGATTTTCCTGTTTGACTGGACCATGGGATTTCAAGTGGGTGTGTCTCTCTCTTGAAAATCTGATCTATTTTGTAATGATTTATCTCTGGAATAGTTCAACTTGTCCTAAGCAATATTTATAAAGGTTAAGGAATAATAATAGCTAAAGGAAAAGGCCCTGAAAAAAGCCACAGGTGAATAGATTTTTAAATGCTTCTGACTTAAGATTCAGTAAATGTTTAGAGTAGACATTTTGATATTGGTATCTGTGAGACTAGGGCTTGCACTGAATACCACTGTATCTGGGCAGAGAATTGATATTTACCCTGAATTCTCCCAACTTGCTGCTCTTACCTTTTCACTTTTTCTTCCTTTTTTCTTTTTGTCACTCTTCTCTCCATCCACAGCCAGTTTGAGGTTCTCCAGTTTTTGTTGCATCAATTCGTCAACCTATCCAGACACACACAGTTAAATCTTTCTAAGTCTTCTGTTCTGCCACCACACCTCAGACAAATGTTCAGCTAAACAAGTGTTAAGGTAAAGAACAGATAGTAGGGACTCTGGAAGGAGGTAAGGTCTATGCCAGGGCCAGTTCTTACAGCTGTAGAGAAATATACACAGGCAATGCACATTATTAGTGTCCTCTTACTATTGTAAGCACACCTGCACTCTGATCTCTTCCTCTACTTCTTCCCGTTTCTCTTCTTTGATCAGCTCCGGGTCATGATCCTGGAGAAAATCACATCCCTTGTCTCTGTTCTGCCAAGCGGCTGTTATCCAAAAGAAAGAAAAAAGGGGAAAAAAGTTACAGAAGCCACTGGTTTCTCCAGCTGCTTCTGGAGGCAAAAAATAGGTAGTTGCAGGCAGCTTTTATTAAATTATTAGCTGTATGAAAGTAACAGACTCTACGGACCCTTACCAAGTTCAGAGCCCCGTTGTGTTAGGATCTGTAAATCTTGAGGTTAACTTTTTTTTTTGCCTTGGGCTGTAAATTGGTATCAGATTTCAGGAGGATAGTGGGATATGGAGGTTGTCATTTTCTGGTTGTAAAGCTGAATGCCTGGAGTGTTGTTCATCTTCAAGAGCAGGTAGTACAGTATCAGCCGAACCATATCGTGCCTGATGTTGGCTTTCTTTTTCTCTCCGCTTAACAGCATCGTGCTTAAATATTTACCATGAAGAAGTCATAAAGATGACTCCTGTCCTGAGGAGTGTGCTCTCTATGCATGTCCCTTGGCTGGCATAATGCAGGTTTGGGCACCAAAGGAAGGTGTTTAATTTAAACCAGGAAGCTTTCCTTCTCTCCTCAGTTATCTAATACTAAGTTAAAGCTGTTGCAACCTTGCGAGTTAGCCTTTGTAGTAATTCATATGAGGCTGAAATATGGGCCAGGCGCACTGGAATATGCATAAAAGCCTGCACAGAGAACATGGGGAAATGGGAGTGTGAGGGGACAGTGAGTCTGACAGAGCAATAACCTGCATCCAACCCCCAAGTGACATACGGTCACACAGTTTTAACTCTGGGGAGTTTTAAGCCTGATGCAGTAATTGAGAGGCAGTTGAAGTCTTTTCCAGAAAGAGACAAGGCCTACCTGATACAGCACCTTTATTTCTTAGTGTTGTGCAAAAGATAAGTAATAAGGAGACCAAACTCCAGGAAGAAAGCAAGCTTGTGCGAACTGATGATCAAAAAAACCCCCTGTTTATGATAAAGTAGCTAATGATCCTGAGGTGCAGCTCTTTATTTTTGTTGAGGCAAACTGCAATTTGCTCTTTAGAAAGAAAACTAAATGAAGTCTGGCAAGCTCGGTGCATATCTGAATTCTCTGGTATTTGCAAAAGGTACCTTTTTTTAAATGGAAACACCTCTCTTCCTTCTACATTTTTTTGAGCTAATTTAAAGGAGGGCAATTAATATCTTTCATTTCCTTGCATTTTAAGCCCTGATAGTATCTTTATAAATGACAGCTAATCTCTAGTAGTATGTGCTAATTCAATTTCCAGACGATTTAAAATGACAGCTTCCCACTTTTAAGATAGAGGCTCCTTTATGAATCTGTTTTGTACAGGGTACTCTTGCCTGTACCCACTACCATTTCTAAGGCACAATAAATGACAGGTTTTCACAATACCCATACGAGATCATTCATGTTTTAGTGCAGTTAATATAATACTGGCTGCTATTTCCATCCCCTACGAATTTTCAGGGTCCAATTACGTGCAGAGTATTTGTGGCTTTACACATAGGGAATAGTTTTTGCAGGCGAGTAGTCTTAATTTCATAACTGAAAATGGTAGATATGGACAAGGACAGTGGATTTTTTGGTAATGAGGAAAGAAACTCAAAGGTATGGACACTAATTTCTTTAAATTACTTGCGGGTCATCAGACGGCATGACAGATGTCACGTAATATTTCAAGAGGGAGAGCTGATTTGCTCTAGTTAAAAGGTACCTCTTCCAGGGTTGCCAGCCTGGAATTTCAGCCTTGGGGAAAGAGGATATTACATGGGAGTTATATGAATTTTAAAACACTTTCCTGACTGGGTCAACAGGTTGCAAGTGCTATGTTTTCACAGGAGTACTAGGGTTTAGATATTTATTTTTCATAGAGGGGTTCATAGATTTTTATTCTGTTTTTTTCATAATTGTTTATTGTCATTTTGTAAATTGATTAGTGGTTGATATCCACTGCAGGCAAACCAGTGACAGTCCCCACAGCTTAGGCAGCTGCCTTTGATATTACCTGGCAACGAGTTTTCCAAGTGGTCTATTAGCCACTAGGTTAGAGGTCCCTAATTTTAGAAAGAGATCAGTAACTCATAGGTGTTAGAAGCTATGTTGTTCTTTTATAGATCAATAAAATGTTTCAAAGTTATTTTTAAAGTAAGGTCAGGAGGCTAAGGATGTTGTGTTTTCACTGGCTGGTCAAAAAAGCCTGGTGTTTTGTTACAGACAGGGTCATCCAGCTACGGGAGCTATTTTTGTGCGTGTGTGTATGCAGTGCAATTTATATCACCTCTTCTAAAATAGTGCATGCTTATCTTTGGATGTATGCATACCTCTCTAGTTCAGGACTTAAAAGACAGCCCAGTCCACTAACTGACTGCTGACATCACCATCTTGGCAGTATTAGTTTTCACTCTGGAGACTAGTCGGTAATTCCAACATCCCTGAATTTCAGAGAACAGCTTGTGACTAATAATTGAAATATATTTATCTGAAGCCTGAAGCTTTTCTTAAAATGACTACTTTCAATCTCCTGGCAAAAGGATTTGAATCTTTTGATGCCTGGTTAAAAATGCACAATATCATCACATCTTAAAGTTTGGGCCATGGGGTATTTGGGTTGAACTCGGATATCCTCTGCAACACCGAGCAAGTCAAATATCAGCTGGCCATCTGTATAACGGGGAAAATAGCACATTGCTGCCTCACAGCACAGGGTACTGCAAGAATAAAACCCAGGAAGACAGAGCTAATGATTCAGACTGCTTACGTTTGCTCCACCAACTCTTGCTGTTCCAATGCAGAAGTAGATGTCACACAAAAACTGGCTGTTTTCCAACAACAGTACATAAAATAAGTGTTTTAGACAGGGCTTGGCAAAGGTAGTTAGTAACTAGCAAAACTGCCAAATACAGTTCTAGAAGAATAAAAGTCTTCATGAATTCAGTGAAGTTTAGGTAGTAGTTCTAGCTTGGTAGAGGTGGGAGGGGGCAGAAATTGGGGTGGAAAAATCTGTAACTGAAATGCCTAGATGTCTGAAAACTGACCTACAGCTTTTTAAATATTTAACCTAAGAACAAAGCAACCAGTTTCAGGGGATGGGAAGACTTTCTTAATTGTAACTATTGGTGGGGTGTGTGTGTGACAAAACAAAAATGTTTGTTGTTTGGTCAGCTATCATTTAGGTAAACTTTAGACACACTCATAAGGGTCTTTAAATGATTCTATTGTAGGTATCTGATATAAACCTTTCTTAATCAAGCTCCCTTACTTCAGTGATGTTTTTGAGATTTATACACTAATAAATAGTAACTGAGCTATTTCTACATAAGAACAGAAAAACGTTCTCAGTGTAGAAAGACCAAACTCAAAACTCTTTTTTTTCTTTTTTTTTTTTCCCCTAAACAATTCTGCTACTGAAATGAAAGCAGGCTAAAATTTAAAATACAAGCAATAAATAGTGATAGTAACTGAGCTATTTCTACGTAAGAACAGAAAAAAGTTCTCAGTGTAGAAAGACCAAACTCAAAACTCTTTTTTTTCTTTTTTTTTTTCCCCTAAACAATTCTGCTACTGAAATGAAAGCAGGCTAAAATTTAAAATACAAGCAACTGCTTACACTGTTGTGGTCAGAAGTTGTTTTAGATTTGATTCTGGAGGCCTTGAAAAGAGGAAGCTTATCCATGGCCACTTAAAAGTAAAATTATTCTGAACAACCACCAGGTAGTACTGTGATAAGGAGTGTCCTGCAATAAAAAGCACTAAGTGCTTGTGAATGAGGCAGGGGACTGTGCTGCATGGAGGAATTAACAGCTGTTTACTAAAAATAAATATAGTGTTGAATACTTGGTTCACTAGGAGGAAAAAAAACACCTACCTGAAGTTTAACTGCACAGCTATAGACTCTTACTGTGCATAAGACAGAACTGCAGCTATTCTTTGAAGCTTGCAAGAGAGTTCTTTCCACTCTGAGGATTTCTGGTTGTGCTCTGTGCAGAAGACGGTTCCTTCTTATGTGCCTTTAGAGCCAGGGGAGTAGCTGTCAGCTCTGGCAGGATGGGCTGGAGATGAGCATTGGTGTTTAACTCTGAATGCCAGACTGGAGTCTTTATCTACCACAAAAGGATGCTGCCTGTCCCTGACTTACCTGAGCATATTATTGCAGCGTACCTGCAAGTGCTGCCAGTACATAACGGGGAGATGGAGGTACTCACACTGACTGGCTCTAGGCATCCAATTCAGGTGCCTGAATAGGAACAGAGGCTCCACAGACAGTTAATAGGCTGCTGAGTTGCCCTTGGGAGGCCCTGTGAGATATCCAGGAACACAACACCCCCAGTTCAGCACTCATCTTCATGCGAAAAGTTAGCATGAGTAACCCCAAAATGTTACATACTTGCAGAGCTCAAAGCAGGTATCTTGTTAGGAATGGCAGTACTGGTATTCAGATACAGTTTGGGTGACAAACGTGTTCCCCGCCCTCTCATAACCCTCTGACTTGTCATTACTTGAGATAGTTATGAAATCTGGGAGTCTCTATTCCTATTAAACTAACCGATTGACTTCTGTGGCATTTTTATTCCCAACACTGGTATCCACTGGGATGTTGGGAAACACTGTTTAACTGTTTAAAGCCCCTGTGTTGAGGTTACAGCCACACGTTTTCTACATCCTGGAGGAATGTTACTTGCACAAATACAAGGAGTTTATGAATTGCAGTTCAGCATTGTATTGAAGCCTGTTTGACTGCAAAGCCCCAGCAGGGGATCCAAGGAGTGCTGTGGGAGCACTGGAAAGCATAGCTACTATACCACCTACTCATTAGCAGAGTGCTGGATGAGCAGATTGCCAAGCCTATGTAGCAATGCAAAACCCTCCTGCCCTCTTTCTGCTACTTCACAACAGGTAGGGCCTCTACACTGCTCCTTCATTGCTCTTGGGACTTGCTGGATGGGAAATGCTGGTCTTCCTATTGCTGGTTTTGGGATACAAAGTGCCATTTCGTCCTGAGTGCCTAGAAAAGCACAGGTAATGTTCTTGGCCAGTTAAGAAAAGAAGCATAGATGAATTTGATCCTTATCTAACACTCCTGCTGACTTCAATGGGGTTCTGATGTAGCATTCAAGAGTAGAGTCTGGGACAAACTCCTCTTCAGCCATAAAATTGCCTTATGAGTTATAATGTGTAAGAAAATCCGAATTGTTAGAAGTTGGAGGTCAGGCAAAACTGTACTGATGCATATTTAGCAAGTAAGTTGTACGCTTCTTTCTCTCTGGCCAACACAAATCAGGCAGAAAACTTGATACCAGTAATTTGTCAACTGGAGGGAATAATGGAGATTGTTCATATGAGGAATTTTAGCAAGCCACTAACTCTGCAGAGTAGAGAGCAGAAAAGAAGTTTTTAATAATTGTTTGAGAATAGAATCTGCATGAAATATAGCAAAAATAACCCCTGAAAGCTTTGATCAGGCACGCTTTTGCAACCAAGGACACCAATTTGGCTTGCCTGATCTGACCTTTGGAGTCCTATTGTGCTGTTCACTTACAGTTCATGGGGCAGGTGCTCCTTTCCATTTTAAAGAAGTGCAAGACTTCTGTGCTCACTTCCAGGCCCAGCACAAGTCATTGCTAACTCATTTGTGTATCTAGGGCGTACGCTAAAGACAAATGTTTAAGAGACAGAGAAAGGCATCAAGTGTAGAGGAGAGGATAGAAGAGATATGGAAAAGAGCAAGATGTCCTTTTGTGAAAACTATTTTTTTAAATTTGAAAAACCCTACTTTTGGATGCTTCCTCAAAGTGAAAAACCAGCCAGCCATTAGTTTAAGTTAACACATATTTTGAATGAAGCAAGTATTCATAGTCCAGCACCATTTCTCATGCCCTTGCTTGGAAAGATGATCCTCCTCTTAAAACATGTAATAAAAAATAATTTGATTAGTGTCGACTGGGTAGGTGAATGAATCCATGGACACTTTCCATGAATGAGAGGAAGACAGGATAAAGAGTTACAGGAACATGAAAACATTGATGCTGAAGCCTGATCTCCAGTATAGTGCTTTTGGATTATTTGCTATTCAGATGGTATTTTTGTTGCCCTCGGAAAATCCAAGAAATCCCCTGCATGTACATCAAAGCACTTTGGTTCTAGCTTGGCCACTTTCACTCATATAGAAATGTACCTTCCTGTATGATTATCTTGATGATTTTGAGAAACTCCCTTCCTAAATACCATTTTTATCTAATGTCCTCATTTCTATAATGTGCTATAGTTTGGGCAGCTGCACTGTTTGACCTTATAGGAATGACATTCAGATTAAGCTGAATTAGAAGAACATTCCAGCTGTAATTGTTATCTTTTTCTACTGACCTTTGTATTGACTGTTTCCTTCCTCCATTATTGAAAGGAAATTACTGGGAGCCATTTTCCAGCCCTCCTCTTCTTCCTAGATTGGGGGTGGGTGTGGGAGAGGGTGAAAAGAAAAATCAGAATATTAATATGTAGAAACTTTGCAAGTATGAAAAGAAGTCATAATTTTAATTGGATTTTTAAAGATTTGTTTCAATTTGAGGAATAAGATGCTGTTGTCTCATCAACAAAAGTCTTCCTAGCAGGCTATAAGGAAGTTTTATCCCCTTGAGTGAAGAGAGGGGGTGTCTGTTCATCCGTTGGCCTACTGAGGTGACAAGAATTAAACTTAGGCTTGTTGGAACATGTAATATAGGTAGGAGACTTGCAACATGTAAATGAAACTACCTTGCTATTTTTTCAGTTACTCTTATTGTAGGGCTGCTCCCTCCCCCCGAAAAGGAATTCCCAGCTTGTGGGTAATTCAAAACTGTTGAAACCTCATTTTAATCTGTAATCAGAAAGAAAAATAGTGATCTTGGTGTATCTTGCAAAACAAAATATTTTGTTTCAACTTTTTCAAAACATTTTGACATTTTCCTGACTAAAGTAAACGACATTGACGTGTTCCTGAAATAGTTTAATTTCATTGAACCAGTATTTCTGACAGAAAAACTTGTCAGAAAAATATGAAAGTTTCTTCATGTTGTATCAGTCATAAGTTCCCAAAATTTTATAAGGTAATAGTTATTAGTGGGAAATTAGATCACTGTTTGGGGAGGAGGTGAATGTGGGTTTATGCAAGAAAACACGAGTTTTATCAGGCTTTGCCAACCAATGTGTAGTCTGTAACCCACTGGTTATCAGTAAGATATAAAGTGCAGCTCCTGGAATAACTAAAATGAAACAAAACCCTTAAATATGCCTCTGTAGTTAGGTGCCACTGCATACCTGCTATCAGCAGATACAGCTGTGGCCGGGTCATGTGAATTATTAAATATCTGTTTTTAATTAAAGTATTATTACAGTAATTAAAGTTTGGGCCCAGAAGGACATGCAAAACATAAATACATTTATCACTTCTACCCTAAGCTCTATAGATACGTTTGAAAGAGAGTCAGGAGTTTTTTGACTAAACATCAAGAACCGTTTGGGTAAAGTATAAGCACAAGTTTGAGGATTTGACACCCAGAGCTCAAATTCCCGGTTACTCTAATGTATTCTCAGTTTTTGCAGAGTGTGGCATTTTGAGATTCATCCTTGGATCTTTTGCAGCAGGCAGAAGACATTCCTTTTAACATTCTCCTATGATATTTTATAGAAAATGATTAAATCATGATGTTCTAAGAGGAAATAACGATAATTTCTAACTATTTAAAACAAAGCAAAGAAAAAAAAAAAACACCCACCCCAGAAGAGCCTAAAAATGGGCTATTCATTTTTACCCTCTTAATAGCATAGGACACGTTAATGTTTCTTTTATTGTTACAAATAAGCCAATAAATCATTTTAATTACTAGCTTCAATGATTGTATACATTGATGTAAATAATATTGCTGTGTCAGTTTCATTGATTTTAATCAAAACCACTGTGTGTCTAAAGGACAGGTGCAGAATGCTGTTCTGTATTCCCTCTTGCCTCTATTAACAGCATGAGTCAATGTAATATAAAGAACTTCTTCTCCTTTGAAGTCAATTGAGGTATTTTTCTATGTTCAGTTGATTGATTCCATGCTTGTTCTGTGTGCTAAGGCACCTTGAACCAAGAGTGTATGTTTCAATCTAAGCAGAGATATGGAAATAACAGTTTGAATATATTTCTGAAGCTTTCCAAAGCCTAGCCCACGCTAGGTGATTCTCATTCAACAGCAGGGAAAATTTTGAATCGACTCCATTGTGCACTTTTGCTATGGAGATTTTGCTAATGGGTTTCACTAAGGACAAAATGCTTCTCACGGTTAAACACTTCTGGGTGAAATCTAGGGATGCACAGCCTTGCTCATGTTTGGTGAGCGAGACAGGTTGCAGCATGTTGCTGGGTGAAGCAGTCCAGGCTGGTCTGACATGTGTTCTGCTATTGAAAAGAAGGGATCATACGGTGCTGAAGTTGTGTGTTTTTTTTTTTTTTTTAATTAGGTGTCCAATGGGAAACCAAATCAGCACCTTACAGAGAAAAGAAAACAAAGTTACTTTGATATCAAATATGCCTTTTTAAAGATTGCTATCAGGCTTTTCAGAAATATTTAAATTTCCTTCTGGGATCAAACTCTGTTTTCTTTAAGAAGTGAAGTTAGGAGCAGGGATTTTTTCTGCCTGCATCACTATGACTTATAGCCTATACTTATTTTAATAAGAGTCCTGCTGTTAGAACTTTTCCAAATACTTCTCAACTGCTCTTAGAT